ATCTTCCGTGTCTTTGTCTTAACCTTATTCTTATTTTTTCAATAAATAAACTGGATAATCCAGATATAAATTTTTCTTTCTAAAATTCATTGTTAGCGTCTGTTCTTAATAAGACTTTTCCCAAAAATACATTTTTATACCACTTAAAATGTGTTAAGGTGGGACACCTTAAATTCATTAAAAGTTCTTTACTTTTATCTGTATTTTGTAAAGTTTTTCCAGCAAAGTGTTTTAATATAGCTTGTATTAAAGTATAAACAACATCTTCGTGGTTATAATACCATCTTCAGCTGTTATAATTTTTACTGCATTTAATATTTCATGCTTTTTGGTAAAACTTAAATAATTATCCTTAGCAAATTTTATCAGTACATCACCCTGGGATGATTGGGCAATCTGTGTTATTTCTTCATTTATTTACTTCTTCATAAAATGGGTTAATTATGTGATTTTGGCTAGAAGAACTTTACCTACTTAAAATTATGCACATTACTCCCTTATAATTATGTGTCAAAGTAAAATTGTTACTTTTACCGTTCAAGTTAACACAAAGTGTGTTTCACACGCCCACACTATCATGTAGGCTTTGTTTTCATTGTTTTCCCTCCAAAAGAACATTGTTTAATCGTCTAAATTATATCTCAATAGCATTAGTGTTTTATAATATATGATATAATACGAAAATAGCTAGGACATCGTGATCCCAAATCAAAAAAAATGGAAGAGAAACATGAGTAAGTGATTTTTAGTCCTAGATCAAAAGCCTCGCATGAGGGAAGAAAAGACTTCGCATGCTGAAGAGTGAAAGATTTCTACCTCAGCCTTAGTAGTGATTTTTGTCAATTACATGAGTAAGAATAAATTAGACGAAATGTTTGATTTTATAAGGTGGGTATTATGATAATTTTATAACTTTATTAATGACGTCAATTACTTCACTCTGGTACATAAAGTACAAGAAAATAATGTGCATAATTTTAAACGTTACGTAGGTAAGGTACTTCTAACCCAAACTACAGGAAGGTAAAAAATAATTATCCCACATAAAATTAAGCCACCATTTAGTTGTTTATACTACTTATAAAAATGTTAACATCCGTGAAAATTTTTTGATTTTCTATTTTATCTCTAATTATTATTATAAAATCAATTATACCTACATATTTACTTTTATACAATTTTTATTTTGTATACCTATTTGACTTCTAAGTTTTTTTGAATTCTTTTCAGTAATAGTTGACTTCTAAATTTTTTTTAATTCATCTATTAGTAGAACACTTACATGTAATTTCTTATATCTATCTTATATTTATGTGACAAAGTAAAATGCAATCAATATTCAAATATATGTCATATTGAATTTTTTAGTATATAAATGATATTATAATACAAACAATAGTATCACAACTTAATCAATCTCTTTGACAAAAAAATACAATAAATTTATAATATAATTAGATGTGCAAATATTCAAGACTAACAATCTTATAATGAATCTTCATTATAAACAAAATTAGAAATGTCTAAAAGACCCGAGAAGATATCTAAAAAGACTGATTAAGTACTTAAAGAGGAGTAAAATAGATCAATAGTTTAAGTTTAGCAATAATTAAAATAGAAATTAATTATTCGGTATATAGTTTATTATTCAATTGAATAACCAATATAAAAATTTTTAAAATTTTATTTTATACTTAATTATTATTATTATTATAAATTCAATTATACCCATATAATTTAGTATTTAAATATTTTTATTTGTAACACACATCGTGCATTTCTAGTCTTATTATGGGTCATTTGTAAGTATTTTCACTTCCTTAGTTACTAACCACTATTATTTAAACTATACGCAAAATGTATTTTTTACAGTCCATTTTTTTTAAAATAATTTTTTATTAAACTTCTTGTGATGGGGTGAAAGAGAAAATAGATCAGTAAGTAAATAAAATAAAAAATAGAGAAGACGAATTATATCTCCCTTACATCACACGATGCTCAGTCCTCCTACCTTGCTTTTTTTTTTTTTTTTTTTTTGGGGGGAGGGGGGGAATTTACTATCGAATGGCGATGAATAATCTCCTTTCCTTCTTGTGACACGCATATGTCCTTTGACGGCCTTTTCTGTACGCGCCTGAAATATCTCTCACACGGCCGCGGCTCATCATGCATGTACCGTGAATCCAGCAAAGCGACCAACCGTCTAACGAACGCCGCAATATTAGTATGAATCCCTAGAATTGCTTTATTTCTGGGGTAATAACTAGAAAATTATTGAAATTGTATTATTATGGAGATTATTTTTATCTCATAAATCTCTTTTCTCATTTTATTTAATTTTTTATTATTAAATTATTAAGCCCATTTTTTTATATTCATACTATTAGTAACTAAATTAATCTCATGCTACATATACTCTAATAATAGTTATATTCATTTATTTTATGTACACCCCTTTAATGAAAGTAATTATCATAAAAAAAAAAGAACCAAACAAAATTGAAATAAGAAAAAAGAAATAAAAAACGAAACAATAAAAAAATGAACATGGCAAAACAATAAAAAAAGAACAAAACAAGAAAAAAAAAAAGCATATCGAAATAAGAAAAAATAAAGGAATGAAACAACAAACAAATATAAAGAAATAAGCAAATTAAGCAAAGATTAAATAAACAAGTAAAATTACAAAACACAAAATCGAATATGAAAAAAAAAAACATCAAGCACAGACACAAAATCGAACAAAAAAAAATAACAAAATGCAAAACTTTAATAAGATAAAAAAGAACAAATTATCTAAAAGCATATATATATATATGCACACATATAAATTTTAAATAAAAAATTATTAAAATTGACAGAGATATCAAAACATATCAAAAATAATGAAAATTCATATAACAAATATAAAATCAAACATCTAATTAAATTGAGAAGTAATACTAACCTGTATTTTATTAAAAAAATTCATATTAAAAAAGTATTTTTGTGAGTGCATAAAATAAAATCCTAATTATGATAAAATACAAAATGAGTTTATTTTATGTGGTAAACTTAATTACTAATGAGGTAGGTATAGGGTGGACTCAGTAGTTTGATAATAAAAAATTTTATGGAGTGAAAATAAATATTTGTGGGGGTGAAAATAGTCCTACCCATTTTGTTATTATAAGAGATGGAATTATAGTTAATGTGGGCAAAACGAAAGTCTATTTAACAGACGTAATATTAGATGTAATGATAATATCACGGTATTATTATTATACTATGTTTAAGACAAATCTCATTTTTTAAACCTAAAATGGTTATTTTTTATACCGACAAAATAGGTATTAAACTAAGTGAGATCTATTTATTTACATGTTAAATTATTATTAAATGATATCACATATACCGTAACATTACCGTTATATTCAATATTTTAACAATAGAATGTTAAATTATTATTAAATACATGTATGACAATATATATTCAATAAATAGTGAAGGGAAAAAAATAAAAAAAATATATTATCATGCATGTATTTGATTTGTATGAAAAATTTGCGAGACAGTTTTAAAAAAATTTCATTTTATTGCTTGAAAGAAAGGAAAGTTGTGAAAAAAAATTTATAATTGTCTAAATTACCTCAATTATATTAAATCGGTCTAAAAAAAGTGACTCCTAACCTAATTCTAAGGCAAACACTAGCACGAAAGTCTTTAGGCCACAAAAAATTTGGTCAAATACATACCAAGATTTTTTAAATTAATAATTAATAAAATATTTTAAGAAAAATAAAATAAAATAGAAAATTAGTTATATATCACAACTTTATTCTATTTTCTTGTATTTTTTATAAGAAAAAAAGTTAATTAATTGTGAGAAAATTTTAAGCATGAATAAAAAAAAAATTATTTTCTATTTCATGGTAACCAAATTACATAAAAATTTTTTTTCTATTTTCTCCTATTATTTTGCTAAACAAAAGGACTCGCAACGTAAACCCATCACTTCCCCATTATTCCTTATTCCTTTAGTTGAAGTAGAGTGCAGGCTTTGGGTGTGTTCCAAACAATTCCTTTACGTTCTCTCACGCCCACGCGCTGGGTATGTTCGAAATTATGCCTTTACTTTCTCTCACGCCCACGCGCTGGGTTTCATGTAATCGCTAAATAATGGGGCATGGGCAGATCAAATGACCATTCACTTTCACCCTTTTAATAAGATTTAGAATCGTAAATCAAAGTTGGTCAAAATTAGAATTAAATTTGGGATATTAATTTAATTTAAATTAAAATTCTTATACAAATTTAATAAAAAATATTAAACTATAATTGACTAGCTATTAATATTAACTTAAATACCTGTCTATTTTGATAAATAATTCAATTAGTATTATTTTGTCTTAGTAGTAATGAATGAAAAACTGTCTAATATTTTTATTTTTTCTCATCTATACTATAAATTATTATAATCAGATTTTGGGAGAGAAGATTCGAAAAATCTTTATTTTCAAATGCTAGATTCTCATAATTTTTAAGGTTAGTAGTAGTTTTGATCTGTAAAGTATGTATTTTTTTGTTAATTTAATCCTTAACATATCTATTTTGTCATTTTGATCCCTAAAATATTTAATTTGTCTCATTTTAGTCCCCACATGGACAGACCATTAAGTTTTTTGACAGAAGTCACGTGTTATTTTTTTAAACAGGATGTTGTATCCAATATGTGATCATTTTATAAAAAACTTAACGACCCGTCTATGAGGAGATCAAAATGACACGAGTTAAATATTTTATAGACTAAATTTATAAAATTAGTGTATTGAGAACTAAATTGATAAAAAAATACATATTTTAGGGATAAAAGTGCTAAGCCTATAGAAAAACTTGAGCTTAGGTCGGCCGAAGGGAAGAACCAACTTTTGAGTACCGAATTTTCTGTGATTGATTGACTTTAATACTTTCCATAACATTATCTCGGTCGTTCCTAGAGCAGTTGTGAACAATTTTTCCTAATGTGCCTTGCAAAAAAGGTAAAATCATAAATATTATCCGAAATAATGAAGGGTGCTTGATAATATTCTATTCCTTGTTGATTCGAGGCTCTTTTTTTTTAGTTTTATGAATAGATTCATCTAATTATAGACGAATCAGTATTGATGCTTTATTACACTATTTTTTATGACTTAAAAGTGCTTGATTTAAGAGTTTTACTGGTCGAAGACCCAGACCTCCCAGATAGAATCTTAAATGAGTGGAAACATATATAAATAATATTTACACAATGTAGAAAACAAATAATTTTTAATTGTTTTATCCAACATTAACAGTTATAAAATTATAATCGAAACACGAATTATTTGCATTGCACGAGTTTGTGGTTAGTATAAATATTGTATGACTCATTTTAGAATTAAAATAATTCTATTTCTCCCTCTTTAAGTTTTTTTGGATGTAGTGTTTGAAATTGAGTTTATTGTTGTTTTTGAGCTCGTGTCTGCATAATGATGCTGGATAAAATATGTTTAAAATATGCATGTATTTTATTATGTATATTTATAAAAAAAAATTTTATTTAAGGTTACTAAAATAAAGAGAAAGTATAGTTTTAAATTGTATAATTTAACCGTGATACAAAATTTTTAACTTAGGAAGTATGTACGTTAATCTAAATACAACACACTTAAACTAATTAATCAAAATGAATAAAAATTTATTGCTCCTTAATACAAATATGCTCCATTCAACCCCTTGCCGTGTCACTCTTGCTTTTATTTCTTGGATAAATTTCACTTCGATCTTTTAACTATGAATTCAATTTTACTTTATCCTTATTATATTTTTCATATCACCTTTTAATTACTTGAATTGATTTTACATTAATCCAAACGTAAAGTACATTATTTTTTGAACAGAAGTTGTCCATGTGTGTAGTTACAAGGTGAAATAAAACATATAGTCATTAACTTTAATGATTGTGAAAATGTAAAACTGATAGCGTAGATCAAGGTGTATTGTGAAAATATATGATAGTTGAAGGCGTAGTGTAAGAAAAAAGTTATAATTGAGGGCACCAAAGTGTAATTTTCTATAATTTTTCTTTTCAGTCCTTACTTGCATTACTTCGGTTGTTAGGCAGGTACATCAGTACTACGGTTATTCCGTCGTTCATCGGAACTGCTCTATAGCTACGCATCTGTATCAGACACACAAGATAATATACGTATATGTATTTACTTTCTTTTATTCGATCTGTTTTTTTAATTATAGTTTATTGAAAGCTGTGATTTATCGGTTATTCTGCTGTGTGTCTACAAATTCGTTGCGTTCAAGAAAGTTCCATGGTGTTATCCGTCTAGGTGAACTCATATCAGCTGATCTTGTCTCTTCTTTCAAGCAATTCTATTGAGATCCGCAACTGGGTTGTGATAAATACTTCATTTCAGTCATAGGTCAAGCTCTGAATCTCACAACCCCAACTTGGGTTGTTTTGAAAAAAGCAACATGTGCGTCCGACTGCCTAACCTTTATGAATTTTCATGAGACTTTTTTTGTTGGTTTTACTGCTATTGTTTTGTATTCATATTTGATGATTACGATTTTGCTGAGCTTTTGAATTTGTAAATTTTCCGTCTTAGCTGTACATAGTTTTTGTGTGTATATCTGGTTTATGGGCATGAAGTTGTAAATGTTAGTATGCAAGGAGATATAGCTAATGTCAATCTGAATTCGGTTGTAAATTTTGCATCTTGGTTGTTAATTAAAATTGCAATTTTTGTTGGTTATATGCTAAGAGATTAAAAAAATTACCTGTTGAGAGTTTTTTGCTGTGTATTCAATGGTTTTGTGGCGATGAAAAAGTTTTATTGTCTTCTGTTTTAGCTGCCTGCAAGGGATAGGGCAGATGCAATGTTTTCAGTATGCAGCTAGGATTATCAATCTGTTGCTGAAAAATTAATGCTATATTTTCTTAATCCTGTCTCATAACAAAACTTGTGCACACATTCGCTAATTTATTATCTTTTTATTTACTACTTTTGTTTTTTCAAGGACTGATACTGGAATTGATTTGTAAAAAATGGCGGTATGTTGGATACAATTGTTGGTAGCTGATGTGTTTGCTTCTTATCACTATTTTTTATGGAGAGTAGTTAAGAGATTTGTAATTTTATTTTTCACATTCATTTTTGGACAGATTTTCAAGTCCAGGCAACAGCGCGGAATCCTAGTTATATATTGGCATTTGGCATCAATTTGCACTTAAGGTTTTGAGACAAGGTTCGTCGGGAGATGCATAGATGGAGGGAAAAGGCAGCATCTTTCAGTATCGAGGGAGACTGGACAAGACACTGGCATCTCCTGCTCTTGCAAATGAGGAAACTCTCAAGACCCTTGTGAAGAATCAAATCCTGCGTTCATCAGAATGTGAAATTGAAGGTTCTTTATTGTTCATTTTTCAGATACCCTCTCAATATTGATTATTCCATGTCAGCTGTTATGTACTAAGTGTAAGGGTTTTTTGGAGGTGTCAAGCTCACAGTAACCACAGATATATATTTGTTTTGTAGGATGTATTGACAATGTTGTAGAAAAAAGAACCAAGGACGTATCAAACTTTGTGGGAATGCTGAGGAGTGCTTCTATAAATGATCACGAAAGGCCAAAATCTAGTGAAGCACAGCGTTGTTGGAAGGTATGCTACACATTGTGGGAATCGTCTCCTCTCCCTGATTAATACATCTGTTTTACATTTGTGAAGTGGCATACTATAGATGACAATTGACCTCATTTTAGTGGACATATAGAATGCCATCTTCTTTTGTCCTTTGTATCCCCATCATGGGTTTTAAGCTTCGACAGATTTTTGGAATCTTGAGAATTCACTTATATAACTTTTACTTTTAAGTTTCCACCTCTATCACCCTACTAGCCCTCAAAACTTGCGAGTGTTGCATGAACATTCATATGTTTTTTCTTCTTCTTTCTGGACTTTGACCATAATAAGCTCATGTAATCAACATGTGCAATCATGTGAGGGAAAGATGGATTGGGACACTTACTGAAATTTTCTACTTATGTGGACAGATAAAACAGGATACCGAAGAGATTCGTGTTATGTATAGAGAAGGTCCAGAAGGCACTCCCTTTCATGCACTACTCGCTGAAGGCTACGTAGATGGGCCTGCAGATGTTTGTAAGCTAATTAAAGCATTCAGAGAAGTTTCATCTTAATTTATGAGAAACATTTTAGACAAGCTTTATAATCTGTTGCAGGTATGTGTATCTCATGGGAGTCGGGCCTATACAAGAAATGGTGAACAATTACTTCCATGTTTTTTGTCTTTTGCTTTCAAACACATGATAGCTGTCTTGTTACTCGTATAAATGTGCAGCAGGATATATGGTGTCCCGCATTCTTTTATGCTCATTGCCTAACCTTTCCTATGTATTCGGGAAACAAGTTATTCAGCTGTGGCAAGGATCATTGGGGTGAAGGAATTTGTGCTTTGCTAAAAGAGAGTGCGAATGAGGCACATACGTCATATGATGCATTTCAACTACTAATTACTATGTTCTATCTTGGCGACACGATAACCCTTTGAAATGGTGGAAATAGTGGGGCTAGTGGTAGTTTCGATCAGCAATGTGGTGATAGTGATGATAATGTGATTAGGATTACGTATATTATTATTATGCCCTCGGTTGTTAAATTGTAATTAATGGCTTTTTCGGGAAAGTAACAGTGAATAAAGGTTAATTAACGAAGAAGGGGAATTATTGGCTGAGGATTTTAATCTTTCTTCCAAATCTCACATTTGAATTAATGAATGCATGTTAGAGAACATGCATGTAGAAAAAGAAATTAAGTAAATTTGTTGCAAATTCATTTAAGGCTGTTCCATTTGAATTTTAATTGCACTCACACCCACACCCACACACCTAATAGAATGGAGTGCGTTTGTGAGAAGTTAGAAGTAGCAGCAACTGTTGGCAGCATAAGAGAGAGTGACAATATCAGTGATAAGTCATGTTCTGGTTGAAGGCATGCGAGGACAAGGGAAAGAAATAGGATAGTGTAAATAGGCATGCGTTTTGGGAAACAGCATTGGACAAAGGTAGCCATGGCAATTAATTGTGTTTGTCTTGTCATGTGCAACCCTGCTTGCATTAGATTTCCCAATAAATAAAATAATAAAAATTGGTTCAGGTGATTTAATTCTGTGGTTATGCGCTAAAACTATTGAATGATTTGTGGACTGAATTTTCTACCAGGTGGCCTCAGACTACAGTTCCAACTTTCAAGGTTAGCTCCTCTGAGTGTTTGCAAAAAGTCAGAATTGGTGAACAGATATCTTTAGTGAGGTTTGACCTGCTATGCAAACAGATGATTGCTTTGAGTTATTTTAGGCTCGTATATCTTGAATTTAAGATGCTGATATATATATTGAACTGTTTGGAAGAAAGGATGAAGCTTTCATGGCCAGTGTCAGCAAGAGAGGTTTTAGTGCATTACTTTGAATTTGAGTACTGTGAAGATGATCTGATTGTAGTGCTTCTAAACTCGGTAGGCAGTTAAAGTAATTTGTTTCTTAACTTGGTTATTTTTTTTTGGCTGGGTTAGTAGTAGTTACTGAACTTCCTTGCTTATATTATAGATATTCAGCAAGCTCTACGTGATAGTCTAAACAGAGACACTCTGGTGATTTCCTTTTTCAGATCTCTGACTCTGAGGCCATTGATAAAACTTCCCATGGGTTCTCCAAAGATGGGATACCTGATGCACAGGATGTTGTAAGGATGGATTTGGTGGGAGGCTTTGCTATACAAAAAGTTAGTGAGGACAGAAGCTACTTCCGGTGAGTTGGTGTAGTTCAGTTACCAATTCTTTCCAAGGACAGATATCAAGACCCTATGAACTGGTTATTGTTTCGGCTGCTAATCCATAAGCATATGGGCTGAGAAACAAAAACAGCTGAGCTTAATTTTGGAACTCCATAAATATAGCTTCTGAACATGTGTAGCCTGTTGGTGTCCTCTTCAAACGTGGTAGTAGTATTTCAAATGCTGTACTGTGGGTTGAGGTATCAGAAGGGAAATTTTCCCTGAGAAAAATAAATGTCTTTTGGAGTTAAGTTGTATTAAGTTAGATGAAATATGAACTGAATTGAAGTACACTATCCATTGAATTACATAAAACTATTAGGGAAAAAAATTCTTTCTGGATATCCTCCAAGAACTAGTATTTGTCAAGAAAAACAGATTGGTCAGCAAGCTGTAGTGGACAAAACAAGGGACCTATCTTGCCTTTAAAGGGCCTAGTGACACAGTTGCAGCCCACTAAACAAACCTGAATGACATCTGAGTCTGGAAACAGTGTGCGGGCATGGTTCTTTCAATTGTTTATCGAAGAATAGACAATACCTATCTTGAAGCAGTTGATGCAGGGGGAACCTCTTTCTGTGGTCCAGCTCCAGCAATAATCTTGTGAATACGTATTCTATTACATATCGCATATGAAGAAGTATGCGCAAGTAAAGGCTTTATTGTGTATCAACGCCATCGACTTTTTTGAGAAAAAGGAGGAAGATCAATCTCTTGATCTTTTAGTTCCATCTGGCAAACTGCTTTAATTTTGACAACTACTGAAATTTTCAACTTTTAAAAGTGGAAGTTGTGCAATATGTATATAGATTTATCAGAGCAAGGATTAATAGAAATACTTGAACTTTGATTTGTATTGGGGGTTGATGTAGTACGCAGAATAAGCACCATAGAGAGAAGATGCATGCTTAGAGGTAAATTGAATGCGGATAGATTAGATGGTAAACCAGACACATTCACACCCATTAATCTATTCTATTTTAATTGTTTCATGTCATATTTTGTAATCAGGTAGATGCTTAAATCATATGAATACTTGTAATTTAGATTGCCCTATCGGCATCCGTTTTTAAGTGGCTGTACTGGCTTTCCTATTATTGGCTCATCTGATGTCATGGTGCCAGCACATACATACATTCACTCCTGATTGCATGAAGTTGCAAATTACTATGCCTACCCGCAGTGATGTGGTATTTGGTTCCGCATAATGAAAGAACAAAGAGTGTAGCTGAATTGCATTTACCACTTGCACATCAATGTGAATATGCCATTGTTCAACTTGTTTGCTGCCCTCCTGTTGTTTTGATACGCTTCCAAAATTTTGCAGGACAATAGTGAACATGGATATTAAGTTGGACTTTGTGCCTCCAGCATTCATTAATTTTATCTCAAGGCAGCTGATAGGTAGCGGTTTCAAGCTTTATAAAAAGGTTAATTTCAATTTCATGTTAGATTCTTTTGGAAAAGAAATTGGCGATATGTTTGCATGTGCTATTGATAGACCTCTATGTTCAACTTTTATGTTAACCCTTTCTAGCAGTTGTATGCATAGAGTGCAGGGGTGGAAGGTGGACCTATGTAAACCCCCAGGTCCATCAACAGCCCCACCTGCTTCCCCAGCCTGTTCCTTCCCATGTGTGGTGCATAGATCCCCGTGCCTCCCTGCTTCTTACGGAGAGGTGCAGGGGTGAAATCCTGTTAAATATGAGGGCATACGCATAGGTTATCAAAAGATATAAAAAGTACTAAAAGCAATTTTGAGTTATTTCCATTGAGACCCTTAAAAATTGTCTAGGATGCACTTCCAAACTTTTGACATATGTAACAAAGACTTCAACAACAAAATTGTACAACACATCCCTTTCTACGGGTCTCCACCCACCAACCACTCAATGAAAACAAAAGATTATAGGTTTGCTCCTGACATTGGATATCAATCATTCAATTTTGTGCGCGTCTTGACTCTTGAGTACTGAGCTGGCGTACATTGTTCCAAATGTACTTGTATCAGATTTGATGACTTTGAATTGTCGGCTATGCAACTCTCAGTTCCTTCATTGGTTCTTATATGTTTTCTGTTCTTGGAACTGTTACAGGAAGTCTCTTCTGTGCTAAAAGGTGATGAAGATTTTGGCAAGGCTTTAAAGGACCCACTGTATGCCCGAATACGTGAGGCTCTTTATGCAGCTAATAAATCAAATGGGGTTCAGGAACCACAGGACCTGAAGATTGATACATGCATTCAGCTCAAAGGACATCCAATGGAAACCATGCAGCCTCAAGAAACGAATGAGACTAATAAGGTTCTTGATGAGGATAATGCAACTCACTCTGCAACAGAGGATACTGTGGTTGTAATTAAGAACTCTATTGGTGAAATTGAGGAGATTGACGAAGAAGAGATTGAAGAAAGTAAATACTTGGAAGAGGATGGGAAGACATTCTGTAGTCCTCCAACTAATGGAGTTGCAGAAAACTGTTGCATAAACAATAAAAAGAAAGTTGTTATTAGTGCTGAGGTAGAACAAGCCCTGGGAACATTGGAGAAGGCCATTTCTATTTTTCGGGGTTATGGATTTAATCCCAAAAGCAGATCTCTGCTGGGCACCACTAACGAAAAGTTGATAAATTCAGAGCACGATGCAACAAAAGACTCAAAATCCTCAGAAGATCAAATTTGTCCAAATGGCGGGGCTTTTGTTGAAGCATCAAAAACTAAGTCAATGGAGAGGACCTCACATGAACCCAGGAACAGCTCTGGCAGTCATGACTCCAGGTAATTATGTTGACAGGAAAAATTAACTTCTTACAGTAATGATCTCTTTATCTTTTTTGCCAGTATCTCGCTCAATGAAATTGGATCTTTTGTTTGTTCCGCGTGATCAATTTACTGTATAAGACATGAAATTGATTGAATTTTCTGGTACACCTTTGACTGTGTTTTAATGAAATATTTCTTCTGGATGTTTGGAGTTGTTTGATTTATTTCTTTTTGGTTCAAAAAGATCGACTTTTAAGTATCTATTCAGCAAAGCTAAACCTGTGTCCGGCTTCTATTCCCCAGTCTATATATGTATACTGGATTGCTTCCTTCATTTCTTTGTTTTGAATGCAGGTCCTGATACTTATCATTATTATTCATGAATTCACTAATAATATTTTCTTTTATGCTTTCTTTCTTTAAGCAGAACTTTTATAGCAATCACTCGAGAGCTGAGAGTGTGACTTTAATCCTTTTTTAAGGCGTACAGGGTCCCAATCTTATGCAAGGGAAACAAATCACAACAGGATAGCACCGGCATCACCAGAAGAAGATGTGCTAAATCCACGTGAGACTCACCAGATTGCTGCATGGTCCTCTGAAAATCAGGCAACAGAGACAGCAGTTTTGGAGACAATGGAAGGCGGGGATAAGCTGGTCACTACCTACGAAATTGGGCTTGATGAAAATGGTTTGACTAAAAGGAAGAATAAAAAACTCAGGTTCTGTTGCTTGCACTTTCCTTTTGGGCAGCTAATGGCTTGAAACCGAACAACTTAAATTGGGCAGAAATGCTGATTCTGTAGCTTAAAAAGTATGAAGAACTGCATTTGGTTTCGACAGAGTTGATATGTAACATCCTATAGGATAATGTCAATGCTTGGTTGTGGAACAGATACTGCTATGCTCGGAGCGTTATGCATCGATAGAAAGTTGAGCATTGCGCATCGATAGAATAGTGAAGGTTTGTAAACCTGTAGGGTCTGGTGCCAATTTTCATGTGACATATATAGTCATTCTGCCATACTTGTTTCATACAACTGATGTTGTACTTGCCGAGTGCATATGATGTAAAACTCGTACCATTTTCGGGTTATAACTAGAATCTCATTTTTCTGGATCCATATCACATCAACAATCCGACCCCTACCACGAGTATATAGTTTTAGATGAGTTTGTATTGTAGGGGTGCAACTCGGGCGGGTTGGATAGTCAACCCTAGCCCAATTTTAGGTATATAATCTTCAACCTTAATCCTAACCTTAACCCTACCACGGGTTGAAGAATTCAACCCGAGCACTTACCGAGTTTAATTTGGGCGGGTTCGGATTGAATTCGGGTTAATGATTTTGAGCTAATTTTGAGTTACTTTCCATGTTTAATTCGGGTAGAGTCCAAAATATGCTTGTTATTCTAAACCTAATACATATATTACATAATATTCACCAAAATTAACAACCAATAACTTTAACAAAGTTTTAACAGTGCTAATGCTAAAAAAAAAATAAAAATGAACAAGAGAAACAGAAAACGATAGAAAAAAAATAAAACATTAGTGCTAATGCTTTATATATATATACTTTTTTTTTAAAATTGTCTGGTTCGGGTTAAAATCGAGTTAGAATTTTTTAACCCAAGTCCAACCCAAATTAAATTCGGGTTAGAATTTTCTGACCCAAGTCCAACCCAAGTATTAAAAACCCTTGCCCAAGTCTTAATTTTTTTGGGTTGGGCTCGGGTTAAAATCGGGTTGCCCAACCCAAGTTGCACTAGTATATACTTGAATGCCATAAGAAACAATCTGCAACAATATGACGATTCTGTCACCATTTCGGGTACCTTGGTCCAGCTCTTGAATCGTAAATATAAATTTTATTTTATATTCTCAAATATTAGATTTTTTATATTACATTCTTAACGTATTAAAAATGTTGTAATGTGATTTTTCTATTGATTTCATTTACTTATTTTGTGAAATATCACTTCATTGATGTTAATAAAATGAATAACGAAAACTAATGGCAGGGCCACGTTGTAACTAGAATAGATAATTGAGTCGAATTTTACGAGTTTATTTTTTTAAATAACTCTAAAAAAATTGATTAAACTTGACTTGTTTAAAAAATGAGTACAGCCCAAAACATGACAAATTCAAACCGAGCCCAAGTAACTCGACTACTTTACATAAAAATGAGTCAAACTTTTTAGACTCGTGTAGAACACAAGTCAAGTTTGAGTCGAGTCTTATTTGAAACAAAGACCGAGATACTCAAACTCAATTATGAGCCCTAATTGTAACATTTTTAATACATTTGTACTATAAAAATTTTAATTTTTAAGAATATAAAATAAAAAATATTTAATCTTTTAAGGTATAAAATGAAATTCACCCTTTAAAAACCACACATCGGACCACTAATCGAAATCGACAGAAAAATTAGGTCAATGATTCACTGGTTCAACCGTTGTCGAATTGATTATATAATAAAAAAATTATAAATATCTAAATAATAAAATACAATACAATTCAACCATTTAATATGCTACATAAACTTAAAAATTAAATTTAATAATCTCAACTATTGAATAGGTAGTGGGTCTCAATAAATACTAGGATCTACAGTGAAATCAATGATTAAGACTATCAAATTTAATTTTTAAATCTATGCAGCATTACTCAATTTCAAAAAATAAACAAAATAATTTTCTGTCTAAATTATTTCTAAATTTATCTATATCAGATCCGACGGTTGCAAACTATTTCTTTAATTTTTGTTTTCCTGCCCAAGACATTCCATATCTCCTGTATTCTGATCGGTACCACCCCTGTGCAATTCACGCGTCTCTCTCTCTCTCTCTCCCCCATCTCTGCCCCAACTTCCGAGTAAGTCACATTTTTCTCTCCCTTTGACTCCATTCACAGATCTCTCCCTCTCCCTCTCACTCTCATTTTTCACTCCTCTCTCACTCTCTCTTTCCGTCGGCTCCCTTCCTCTCCTCTCTCGCCAGTCACCCACCACCGACAATAGCTACCATAGATCTAGCGACCGGCTAGGTCTCTCTTGCCCCCTCTTTGCTCTTTTCCTTCCCCCTTCTCTCTCTCTTTCTCTCTCTCTCTCTCCACTGCCTCTGCCACGCAACACATCTGCTCACTGCCTTTTGCCAAGCGAAACAACACCGACATCGACCTTCGTTGCCAGCGACTACCAGTTTACAACGATCCTGAGGTATCTCTCTCTTTCATCCTCTACGACTCTTCTTCCCCCTTTCTCTTTTGCACTAGCTGCCACCTCCAACAACCATCCATAGCACTAAACCCAGCTCGACCACCATGTGTTCGACAAAATTTCTCAGAGAGTTTCCTCTCTCATCTCTCACAAAGCACACACAAATGTTGATTACCTCTCTTAATTTTTGGTGTTGAGTTTTTTTAATTGGAATTAGGTGTTGTTTTAATTGGATTTAGTTTCACGATAATTTGTTAAATTTTGGTGTTAAATTTGTTAGCCTCCGTCACCCAGACCCAGGTAACTCTGTCTCTCTCTCTCTACTCTCGGCGCATCCCGTCTTCTCCCAATCTCTATTAGATCTCTTTCACCACCACAATTACCACACGCATGCACACATACAGAGTCTCGCACAAAGATCACACAACCCCACAATCGCACACTTTACAGATTCACACAATCATTTTTCTATTTTGGAGGTTTGTGGGGATTTTGGCTTCAGGTTTTGTGAATGTTAATTTGATATTGAAATGTCAAATGTTTTGGAACCTAGAATGTCTCGATATATACGTGTCAAGGTTTATTGTTTTGGTATTTGTCGTGTATGTGTTTGGATTTGGTAATAAGTTTTGCATCCATATGTTATGCTTACCTTTTAGAACCTTGAGAATGACTGATAGTTTGATTCTTCACTGAAGCAGCTTGCATAATAAATGAAAAAAATTCCCTGTTCTTGGTTATGCAAGCATAGATTTCGGGGGTACCACTCCGCAAATAGAAATTTTTTACTTTTGAATGAATTTGAATTAGGATGATGTGTGTGTTTTTAATATGATTTATGATTTTGGGTTGTGTTTTAATTTGAATTTTAGTTTATAATTTGTTAGTTTTTGTAATTAGTCCCAGTTAATGATAAAGGGTATTTTCTAATTTATTTTCAAATCCTTTAGACCGGTAAACAACGGGTATCTAAAAAGTACCCTTTGCTCATTCTTCAAAGGGGGGTGTTGATTTCAAACGATACTATCTAAAAAGTTGTTTCCTGGAAGATCTACTCAAGTTATGAAATCAGGATTAGGATCCTTACTTTGCTCATTTTTATTTTATCAGGATTTCTTCCTTATAGTTGTAATTTATTTTAAACCATAAGACAAGGATTTCTTCCTCGAGAATGGGGTTTTCTATAGCCCAAGGTTTTTTTTGATATGTTATTTGTGATGATTTAATTTTTTGTGTGGTTAGCTTAGTAACATTTGATTGGATCTTTACTTTATATTTAGTGTAATAACTTTTATGTGAACGTAATATAGATGTGTACGTCAATAGTGTCATTGCCCAAGCATTGTATGGATTGTTTTCGTGTTACAAAGTGTCTTTAAGCATGGATAAATTACTAATCTAATATGAATTGGAAAAGAGAATTTCTTTTTTTGTAGTTTTTCATTGCTTGGTTGTTATTGACGATTGAGTTATAATTTTTCTTAATCTATGTTTATATGATTTTCAATTTGTCTCTGTTGTTAATGTTATCTTTGTTTGGAAAAAACTATTTGCGCTTATATGTAAAAATTTAATTTGTGATTTTTTGTGTTATATAACTAGTTATAAAATAAAGTATAAATTGCGGCTATAGTCCTTAAGATTTGTTACTCATTATATTTTGATCCATGAGAGATATTTTTGGTATTGTATAATAATTCATGAAACCAAATATAAGTCCAGTTAAAAAAAAAACCAAACACAAGTCTTGTCCTTGACCATAAAAAATAAGACTTGTCCTTTTTTACCATTTTCTTTCTCTCTCTAATTCAACTCGTCAGACCCAACACATCTCTCTCTTTCTAACCAGCACACATCCATGATTCAACCCATTCTCAAACCTTTGCACACACACAGCACAGTAGATGCAAGGCTAGATTAACCCTAACTAACACAATTGATGCAAGGCTTGATTTTTTCGGGACCTCCATGTGCAATCAAGCTCGAGTTCTCCCTCTCTCGCTCTCTGATGAATAGCTGAAGAAGCTCCAATAAATCTGCATGGACAATCAACCACAACTAATTAAAGCTCCAATCAAGCTCCTGGTGAAGGATTAACTTTGAATTGTGTATTGGGTTATAACTTCTAAATCTCTGTTTTTCTCTCTCCTCCTCACTCTTTCTCTCTCTCAAATTCCTGATCGCTACCTCTATGTTAATTCTCTATAATTGGTGTGGGTAATAGAGAATTTGTGCTTGTATCATTGTGGTGGAGAAGGCAGGTAACAAGGGAAAGGGGAAGGAAGACGACAGTGAAACTCCAACTGTCCGGTTTAGCGGTTCCTATGCGGTTCGATGCATTATGTGGTCTAACTACAGAGCCGGACCGTTCTAGGTCCCGGGTCGCGGTTGAATCGAACCGACCGGCCGGTCCGGTCCGGTTTTGATAACACTGTGCTTTATTGGCAGGCCTACACGTGACTCACTATAAAAACTCCACATTCTTCCCCGCCAATCTCCCAATTCTCTCTCTCAACTGAAAATGTGGAAGATTAAGCTCCGAATACCGCTCTCCACAATTTTTCGCAGAGTTCTTCCTATAAATTCCTCTTGTCTCTCAGTCAATTACATTCCACAGAATCGATTTTTCACTGCTAATTTATCTTCCTCACAACTAGTAGTCGGAGAATCTAGGGTTTTACGAACCCCGACGAGATGTTATTTCCTAGGAAAACACCATTTTTGCAGGACAAATTTGTGCTCTGAATCTGCCGAGAAATTTCGTTGTTGGAACTGTAATGCTGAGGCTGGAATGACGCCGTTTCTGTTTTGCAATTCTTGTCGAAGTGTTCAACCTGTTGATCACTCTGTGGATTACTTCCAGATATTTGGACTGTAAGCACTTAATTTCAATTTTTTTTCTTCATATCTTTGTATCAGAGCCCTGTTTGGTTGCTGATAATACAATAAAATTGAAATTCCCAGTAATGTATTTTACTGTTGGCATTTGATTTTGTATTGTTATTACTAGCGGCGGCCCGATGCATCGCATGAATTTGCACACATCCCTTTCCCTCCTCGTCCTACTTCTTTTTTTTATTTTTCTATTATCATCATACCATTTGAAAAGTTAGATAAAAAATTAGTTAGTTCAAGAACCGTAGGGAAGATTGAGCTATTGCATACAATTGGCAACTCCCTGAATCCCGTTTCCATCATTAGCTTATTTTATTGTACTAAGATGAGGGTAGAATCTGATGGTTATGCTATACAGAAGGCCTGGAACAAAAGCATTCTTTTTGTTACTTCTGAATTTGTAATTGAACCATTCCAAACAGCTACTGTTTAGGTAGGTTTCTAGAGGGGTTTTTCTTCATTTTCCCTCTATTTGTGATTGAGCTCCATTCCCATCAATAAAATTCTTTAAAAAAGTTAGATAGAAAATTATGAAAAATTAGGGTGATAAAATAATTATAAAAAGTTAGGGGGTAAAATTATATTTCTAAAAAAATTTAAGTTAGTGATTTTTTTAAAAAGAAAATTAGATGAGTGGTAGTTAAATATTGGGGTAGACGGTGGTTACATGAGACATGTGTTGTGATATAATTGGTTAAAATCATGTGTAGTAATTAAATAATTGACAATTCTAAGAAAAAAGGAAATTGGGTGGGAAGGTTTCTCAAGCTTCCTCCCACCTAATTTGATTGTTTTATATAGATAGTATAGATGGGATGTGTGAATGTTGGAGCTACTTTATGTAGGAGCATTTAGACAAAATAAAGTTATACTGCTGCATTTCCAGTGTTGACAATCAGTTGGATCACAGCTTACCAATAATTGGTTTCGGTGGAAAATGGGAATGATTGTGTAACTTATGGGTTTTTTGTATTATGTTGAACTGTTTCATAAGATACATCGAGTGAAGGGTATTTTTTCAAGAAAAATCTGTCTTGGGATTTTGATCTGAGTTATTTACCAATATAATCAGCTAGCACGTGTAAGATGCTATAGAAAAATGGAATTTTAGTTTTCAGCGTAGACCAGTGATAAGTGAAGAACAACTGTTTTGAATGCCAACAGAGAGAAGAAGTATGAGATTGAAGATGAAAACTTGGAGGGAAAGTACAAAGACTGGCAGAAGAAACTGCATCCTGATCTGGTTCATTCAAAATCCAAGGTTCATAACGATATAGTTGGCATTTTTCTTCTTTTTCCTTTTGTTTTAAAATCATCATGGTATCAACTAATCATCATCATTATTATGATTTTTACTACTTTTGGTATATGCTGTTTCTATTGTTGGTATTAGCAAGAAAGAGAGTATGCTGCTGAACAGTCTGCTCGTGTAATTGATGCATATCGCACCCTCACTAATCCATTGTCAAGGGCAATATACATTGTAAGTGTTCTTTCTACCCATGAGTGGCTTATTGTTTGAACTCCTATGGGTGTACCAAGATATACTGTTTAGTTTATGTTTATCTTCTAGTTGTGGCATAAAAGAGGATATTGTTCACCTCATCGAATCATTGACATTGATATTAATACCATTAAGGAGAAAATTAATGGTTAATGTACATAAAAGGCTGTGAAGATAGAAAATTGAACTTTTGGTTTTGTGATAACTGGATGGACTGATGAGGACTTTTTTTAATTGAAAATATTGATCATCATGGTGGATCTTACTAGATCGCATTGGAAGTGATTTGATTTAAAAGTTTTGGCTACAAACGGATTGGGATTGGTGCTTGGCCCAGTGATTAGAAAGACCAATTTATTGCCAATAAATGGAGGATATTATTATAGCTGGGTTTCTCATTTAGCTTTTGTCACTGCCTTCCATTTTTTTTTTTCCCCATTTTTGAGTGCTGTCTTATAAGGACCACTGTATATGTGATTGACTTTCACTTTTGCTAACAAGAAATGACATTAAAAGTCTGATTTTTTTTACACCTTTCAGCTGAAGCTAGAAGGTGTGGATGTTGATGAAGAAGAAAGGATTTCAGACCCGGATTTGCTGGCTGAGGTAATTTTCAAGATGGCTTTGCAAATTTATTTCTTCTGGCTTGTTTTCTTTGATAAATTTGTGAAATGGGAACTTGCTTTTCAGGGCATCTATATGCATCTTTATTTTATAGTTAGGTAGGTTTTTCAAAATGTGAAGAAGAGAGCTGTCTTTTTTCATTGATGAGTAACCTTGTATTCTCCATTTGTAACTTCGGTGTCAGCTGAGCCATCAAAACACCAATCAAATTGCACCCTTTTCTGGGATCAATCACCATTCATGAGTAATCAATGTGCCAAGCTTAGTTGGTTAAACAACCGGTAAATATTATCTTTATACTTGTTCAGCTTGATTACAGCTGATGAGAAGTTTATTTCTATTTTCCAAATTTTGTCCAAATGTTGAATTCTTAAGCTCAATCAAAATTGGTGAGAAATTTACCACTTTGCTAGAAACTCTTGACACTATCTTTCTATATCCTTTGTAACGAAGTTCTTAGCTAAATCACATGCACATGCTCTTTAGACCTTAGTTTAACTTTTATTGAATCATCCATGTTGTAATGGTTTGGAGGAGTTCATATGAACTGTTCACATAAAATCCCTTTTGGGTTAGCTAGTTTTAGTGAGTCTGATCATCTCGTGCTATCGGTTTAGATATATGGGTTTAGCTAGTAAGGTGATTTGCTTTTAGTTAGTCAATGCTTACTGCTAATCTTGACAATAGTTGGTAAACTGATGTTCTTATAGTTCTAATGCTTGTTAAAGTTGTGCTAGTTGTCAATAAGCTATAAGGCTGGATTCTGAAATATCATAAATTTGGTGTATATTTTTGGGGTGTCATTTTTAACAAGAATTTTAATGAGAAGGCATGAACATTGCAGACAATGCTGTGAAAGAAAAATGAATTGAACTATGGAGTCAATTCTGTGAACTAAGAAACTGGATCCAAATTTGAACTACAGGTTCTTAAAGCTTGCTAAAAAAAGTGCATTCACTGAATGATGCTTTAAAAACCTTCCAGACAGAAAAAATGATGCTTTAGAAACATAGAGGTATTGTGCTTTCATGGCAGGGTGCTTCAAAACACCTGCAGGTTAGTCTGGTAATGATACCCAAAAAGCGAGTGGCTTGTTTTTAATTTGATAAATGTGTTTAGGTTAAGCCTGCATGAGATCTATTTTGCTGTATGAAATTTAATACTTAGTTTGGATTGCAGATTATGGAAATAAGGGAAGCTGTTGAAGAAGCTCAAGAAACCCAGGCGCTAAATCAGATTCAGGCTCAGGTATGACTGAGAACTCTTACAATTAGACTTTTGTAATGAGAGAGTTATAGATTCAGTTAAACCTTCCAGACTACCACAAACAGGATCGTATGCCAGTTCGAAGCCAAATTCTGGAAATTCTTGTGAGGGGCCTTTGTTCAAAGTCAAAATCCCTAAAGCTATTCCACTATGCCAGCATGCCAAACAAAATATGCTGAATGACTTTAGAAAAATCTTGATGTGGATGGTTAGGATCATCCAAGCAAGATGGATATTGGGCTAAGTTGGTACATGTGCTAGTTTACTTTAATGAGTATGTCCATACTAGTTAGCATCTATAGATTTCCACTTTTTATTTTTTGGCTAGGAAGAATCGATATACCATCCTGATTTTAGTCTTAATCTTATGCTTCCTATTATTGCATAATAATCTAACAAAACTCTATTGCTCTTTCTGTATCCAGATTCAAGAGAAACTGACACGTTGGCGTAAATCCTTTGCAAATGCATTTCAAAGCCGAAAATATGAAGAAGCTCAAACTTCCATCCGGAGAATGACTTATTACATACGTGCAAACGAAGAAATTGTTAAGAAGCTGTAATGGTGGTCTTCAGTCCTATGATTTTTTTTGCACACGTACTTTTGTCATTTCTTTTTTAATTTTATGCTTAACCTTATAAGAGACAAACATGAACGTAATTGTTTTATTAAACATAAAGCATAAGAAAGAAAAGATGATTTAGATAGCTGGATAATATGCGAACATCTGGAGCATTGCACTGATGAAGATCTTGTGAGAACGGTGCAGAATACAATTTGCTGTGTCCAGATGTTTGCAGAGTTGATACTTGATAGTATGATGAATGCAGATCACATGGTACAGCCATCCTACAAATTCCGTGTTCATGTACAGGGATCACTTTTGATTATGCAGATTGAATTAGATTCCTGTTTTTCATTTACTTTTGTTTCCTTACTACTTTTTCTTTCGGGGGGATGTGCACGTGTTATTTGTGGGGCAATGTGTAAGATTTGAATTACATCTTCCACCTTGGGTGCGTTGTGGGTTCGTCTTGCTTATGTCTCTCTGGTTTAATTCATATCATCTGTGGTTAGCAGATGGTTACAAAATATCTAAAATTTACTCTGCAGGGATGAATTCAAAGCGATGCTGTCCTAAAGAGGTTGCTTCTTGTTAAAAAAACAAAAAAGAACAGCATGTTACACTCTGATTCATGCTGTGCTCTACAATTTCAAGTCATACACTGTTGAATGCCCTGTCATTGACAATTTGGTTCTTGAACTCTAGATTGGTTTGATTTGCGTCATCATGTTTAAAGGTGTTTTTTTTTTTTCAAGTTTGATGCATTAGCCACCGAGTTGGGTGATTTAGTGAGGTATAAACTAAATTTCTAGTTGGAGGTTTGAGTCTTGGAGTTCACATTGGAGCTCATTAATTGATCGTTATGCTAGTTTAGTTTGGTTCGTTCTCGAGAGGAATAATGAGCGTGGCCAAAAGTCTCATGATTACACCAATAAAGGCCTGTTAAGGTGTTCTTAGTGTGTTTTCTTTTGTCCTCATCTTTTTTTTACAACAGCAAAAAAAAAAAAAAGGTTCGATATATTAAAAACTAACACGTTTATAGTTCCATTAGGCTTTGAGAATGAAGTTCAGAGTTGAACTATCAAAACACCATTTTCCAAAACTTAAGTGCCTTCGAATGTAAATTTCAAAAATAGCATCCACATGCAACCCTATCCCGGAAGAAGCAGAAGCAGATGGTTTTTAGTATTGTTACGTATTGATGGAGGCTTTTGTGTGATTACCATTGTAAAACAACTCATCATCTCGTTGCTCTGTGTGTAAGTTGCATTTGGGATGAACTAATCCCAAGTCACTTGGTGATGTGGGTGTAGAGTAGGAGAAATTTTTGCACTGATGTGGTGTGTACACCTAATCACAAATTACCATGAGAGCAGACCGTTAGACACAATACAACTCAGCATTTAAATAATGTTCCCATTAACCACCTTTATCAAGTACAAATTTCAAGAAATTTTTGTAGACAATGGGCTCTGTCTTAGAGCTTGGGTTCGGCTCCTCTGTGGTAAGCCGCTTACCGCATGATATGCAGTTAAATGGAAAGACACCGTTTTAGGTGTTTTTAGCATTTTTTTTTAGTAGTTCTTACCAAAAACGACATTGTTTTTACCTTTTTGGTCATTCAAATCCATATTTGAAATCTCTTCTTTCTTCCTCAACTTAGTTGCCCTCTTTTTCGTCAAACTGACTACTTCTCCTTACCAATGAACGCCAAAAACCAGGTTAGAGAAGGAGACTTTGATCGAGATGGGGTTATCAATGAATTCAAATTCTGTGTTTTAATGTTTAGATTGAGTCTTGAGTTAATAGATATTTGGAGCTTAGAGACTGTTTGATAAAACTCATGATTAATAAAAATAATAGAATAATGAAGTCAATTTCTTTGTACATGTTTTTTTTTGTTCTCGTTGGCTTTTATATATATATTATACGAACTAAACAATCGAAGAGAGAAATAAAGAATACTTGATCTTGGTGTTGGAGTTGCAGAATCTTCATTCAGGATTTTGGTTCATTTTGGGGAACGAAGCTGGGTCTAGTCTGGTTGAACAAACGGTGCCGTTTTGGTCTAGGATTTTCAAAAAAAGAAAAAACAAATGCCGTAAAATGATGTCGTTCCTCTTAACCGCATATCGTGCGTTTGGTCGCTTTCCATATAGGAGTCGAACCCAGCTTTTACCTATTCTACTGTACACAACCTAAGTTAAAAAATTCACAACCCATCTATGCCATTTCTCTCCACTCTCTCTCTTTCTCCTCACACAGCTCATCTTTATCACTAATGGATTATCTCTTTCTTCAAATCTCTTCTCTCTCTTTGTATATTATCGGTCACGACGGAAATCGGACCCTACTCGGGTTGTATTAATGAGTAAGAAATCTTTGTTTTCTCTCTAAAATGAGCCTCTATTGGTAAGTCTCAATAAGTGCCTTAAATTGATTTCTTTCACACACTCACTAGAGTTTTTACTTCTCAACCTAATTTTTTTTTAAAATTTTTTTTCTTAATTTTTACTTCTGGAGTTTAAAAGACTGCATATGGTTAGGTATGTCATTGCTTTCAAAAAAATTGGTATTTTATCTTACAATCTAATTCTAAAACAATTCATATCATATTTCACTAATGAAATTTCAATGTAAAAATAAATACATAATTTTTTTTTTTGGTGAAATTAAGTCAAGAGGTTAAATTATCATTTCCATAAATAATGTTCTAATTGAGTTATAATATTCAGGGTGAATTTTTAAGATCGAATTTTTAATTACAATGAATTTGGATTTAGATTGTCCAAGGGACAAATCTCGAACTTTTAATCGTATAGAAATCGACTAATCTGGTTTGAATTGCATAACTATTATATTTTGGGTTTGTTCAGGACAGCAGTCCGCTGTAGCTAATTCAATGGATTATTGGCCTTACTTCCCGAGAGCCCCGGGTTCGAATCCCGGCAGCGGAACAAATCCTTTTCTCATATTTTCGAATTTACTTTTATTCAAAGTGTATATAGTAAGTGAGATAATAATTGAACCGTGATATTATCACACATTAATTTCAATTCTTAGATTTTTGAATTTTACGACTCAAACTAATTTTTATGATAGTAAATAAGAATCAATTCTTGATATTTGGATTTTATGAATTAAACTAATTTTACGATGACGCCATATAAAAAGTTAATTTTGATGGGCTCTATATAATTAAAAATTTAATATTAACGATAGCTTTTATAATAATTCTTATTCAATCAATTTAAAATTATACTTGACTAGGTTTTATATTTAAAAAAAAATTCTTGACACTTTTATATTTTTAAAAAAATGTTTGATACTTGGATTAGTCGCAGATCTCAATATTAAGAGACGTTCATTGCCACCTAGGAAGCACGGATACAGATACGTGACACGGGTACGATACGATACGGATACAGCGATACGACAAAACTTAAAAAAATAAGATACGGGTACGGCCAGGATACGTCTATAATAAAATATATTTTATATTTTATTATTATTTAACGACTTAGAAATTATAATTTTTCAATAATTATTTAACATTAGTAAGTAAAATTAGAAATTTTTATCATGAAAATGTTATAATATCATCTCATTATGATCTGTTCATAAAATGAGCATGACAAATTAAAGGAATTATAATAGCATTTAACTAGTTGGTTTTACAAGTATTTATTTTTAAAAGTATAATGTAAGTGATTCATTTTTTTTATACCCTCTTAACATATAATAATAGATAATACTTAAAAAACACTCGTGTTTTTAAAATCGGATGGAATTTTGTTGATGTTTTATATTGTATGTGAACTCCAAAGAAGGGTTATAGTTTAAAATTAAAAATTGTACATCTTACACCATGTTTAAAAATATCCGCCAAGTATCCACATATTTTATTAATTATCGAATACAGATGATGCGTATCTGATACGTATCATCGAGTATCCGACGAGTATCGTATTCGATACGGTATCGGATACGGGTACGTCGACCTTGACGAAGTATCCGTGCTTCATAGATTGCCACACTAAGGACTATAAATTTGATTTTTTTTTTATTTGAAAAGGCAATAAATAAAGTTTGAATAACATTATTTTTCTCAATATGCAAATTACCACTGGTGAGAGCGAGATATTGAGAAAAAAAAAATGGAATAAAGAAATTTGAATCCTGAAAAGCATGTTGACAAGAGAGAACTAATTAAACATTATTCAAGTCTACTTGAATTATAGTTTAGATGTTTAACTAGAAATTTAAATAAAAATTAAACAAATTAAAATGCATAAGAAATATTTTGACCGATAAGTATGCATAGGAAACCGATTTTTTTTTTTGTTTAACGGTCAGGAGTATTCGAGCCAACTTACATGCATCTCGACTAAATTTCTTTTTAATTCGATCAAGTTGTCAAAATTTGAACTTACAACATCAGGATTTACATCAGATCTCTGTTACCAGAGAGCTATTCTTTGAGATTTAGGAAACCAAAAGTTAGGAGTTTAAACTGATATCTGTTATCACTTGAATTATTCCTTTTAATTTTAGGAGCTACATTCAATACACTTGCCAAAACATAATAAAATTCCCACTGCTGGGACTCGAACCCGGGACAGCCCCCAAGGGGGTTTAATATATTCTTGACTGTGATATTGAAATTCAAAATTTCAGTATTATACCTAAATTTATCATATTTGTGGTAATTTTTATCACAATTATGAGTAATTTTAGCACTGTTGTAGTACTTAAAAAGATGGTAAAAATAATTATTAGAACAGTGGTAAAAAATAAAAATAAGTACAAATATGATAACTAATTCATTTGCAACAAATAAAATATTTCGGGGTTAATAATGCATGATTCCGCTGTAGACAACTTAATGTTGAATGAAAGTTCAGCAACTAATTCTCACCTATTTCTCCTGGAAAAAAAAAACTATTTTAGAACAAGTGGCTTCTCTTGTACTGCACCAAACTTCTCTCTCTCTCTCTCACACACACAGGACACAAATTTCAAAAATAAGTGATCAATCGACACGAATATTAAATAAATTAAATTAAAGTTGGAAACAAATAACACAAATAATTGGTACTATAAATAGACAATAGATTTTATAATTATTTTTAATTTTTTTCACATGAGAGTTGTTTTAGAATTAAATTTTTTTTATTAACATGAATATTAATATGGCTAGCGACACAACACGATACATAAACCTTTTTTTTTAACCCTTTTTCTATTGTCATCTAGTGTATCATGGATGAATTCAATCTATCTTTGGTAACAATCTTTCTACGTCATCGCACAAGACAACTGTAAGCGCATCTCCAACAACAAATTGTATTTTAGTTATCCAAAAAATAATTTTTTTTATTTTAACTGCTTATTTTTTCAATACATACTGTAACATATTTTTTATGTTTTTAACTACTTTTTTTAAATATTATTTTTCATTCTTTTTTATATTATTTTTTTTAGGAATAATGGAAGGGAGAAAGAGAGAGAATGGAAGAAAGGAGAGGAAGAGAGAGAAAATAATATAAAATAAGTTTACAAGTTGCTATAGTGATACTCTATATTTAGAGTTTTACCGTAATAAAAATCTATTTTAGAATATATGAACAATATTTGTTGGAGCATGACTTTTGACTTTGGTTCGCTAAATTTTAGTCATTTTGATCATTTACAGCATATGTTAGAGATGCTCTAATTAGCTACTTAAAAAACAACATTTTTTATTTTAACTACTCACTTTTTTAATACACGCTCTAATAGATTTTCTATATTTTTAACTACTCATTTTAAATATTATTTTTCATTCCTTTTATATTATTTTTTTTGGGAATAGAGAAAAGGAGAAAGAGAGAGAATGAAAGATATGAGAGGAAGAGAGATAAAATAATATAAAATATGTTTACAAGTTGCTATAGTGATACTCTATATTTAGAGTTTCATTATAGCAAAAATCTATTTTAGAGTATATGAACAATATTTGTTGAAGCATGACTTTTGACTTTGGTTAACTAAATTTTAGTCATTTTGATCATTTACAGCATCTGTTAGAGATGCTCTAATTAGCTACTCAAAAAATAATATTTTCTATTTTAGCTACTCACTTTTTTAATTTACACTCCAACAGATTTTCTATATTTTTAACTACTTCTTTTAAATATTATTTCTCATTTTTTTTATATTATTTTTTTTGAGAATAGTGAAAAGGAGAAAGAGAGAGAATGAAAGAAAGGAAAAGAAGAGAAATAAAATATTATAAACAAATTTTACATATTGCTACAGTGATACTTTATATTTAGAGTACTACTGTAGTAAAAATCTATTTTAGATTATTTAAGCATATTCTGTTGGAATATGATTTTTTGCTTTGATTAGCTAAATTTTATCTATTTTTGTGCTTTTATAACATCTCTTGGAGATGTTCTAAGAGTGGAGCAAGGTATTTACGTTAGAGTAAATCCTGAAAATAATAAAATATAAAATTAAACTATAGGGAACAATAACATATTGATAAGTAGTCCTCCTATTCGATCAATTTAAAATTGTACTTGACTAGTTTCTAATTTTTTTTAAACAATGCTTGATAATCTTATTGTTAATGTCATTAAACATGTTATTATTAATAAAGTAATGTTATTGAACTTTAATTTACTTAGTTTGATGATGCACAAATTAATTTTATGTACTACTTGTTAAGTAATTAATGATTAATGTAGTAATTAAGTAGAGAGAAAAAGTAACACAAGCAAGACAAATATGTAGAGTGGTTCGGTCAACATGACTTATTCCACTATGAAGGGCTAGGATGACCTTGTGTTTTATTACTTCGAAGAGTGAAGGTAGGTGAGGGATAGTTCTAGAGATACATATTATGAGAAAGAGATGAGAGTGATAGCAAAGGTGCTCGATGCCCCTCAAGTGTTGGTGAGACTTACAATCTGTAGTGTTTCTTAACAGATTGATGCGTCTTTTCAATAACTAAGTGACTAATATGGTGAAATTGACGCTATCTTCTCAACGGCTGAGACAGTTACGGAGCTCTCTTTAAGATCAGGTCAAATGATAACGTGGTGGTTGACTTATTCCAAGGCGGCGTGGATGAGACTCTCGCAATGACGATCCTTACTTTATAGTGATGAAACTTTCTAAACCTTGATGAGCCTGATTGAGCATGAACCTCTTTTGGGCTAGGTCCATTGGATCTCGTCTAGTTGAACTCTTTTATTTAAGTTGGACTTATAACCAGAGTTGGGCCCTTGGCTTTGACCCATTGGCAATTCAGGCACAATAACAATTTACTTTAGTTAATTAAGTTAATAAATTTTATTGAAATAATATTAATTTTCTTAATATTCATATTAACACCGGCGAGGGAGAGGGGGCGAAATATTTGAAAGAAAAAAATAATGAGTTTTTGTGTCTTAAAACATGTTAGAGTAAAAATAACTAATTTAACATTAAGTTCAAAGATAATTTAACAGATTAACATATAAAAAAAATAGAGAGAGAATTGTTAGTAGACAAAGACTAACAATTCAGTACACTGGGCAAAAAATAAAAATTGTTCCACTGCCGGACTTGAATCCGGGACAATCCCAAGAATCAAAATTTCGTTTCGAAGTACCGTTTCAGTCAACTCAAAAATAGAAACGTTTCGGAAACGCAATGAAAACGCAGAAAAAATATGAAAACGCATAGAAACACAAATGCAATCCATTAATTTATAAAGATATGCTAAATAATTTATTAATTCAACATATTTATTAGGTTAACATCAATTTATACAAGAATAAATTTAAATTTGAGGGAAAAAAAGGCTTGACTTGAGGCGAAAGTCACTTAAATTAGTTTCAAACACTTAATTTTTATGAAATAAACATATTTTTACATAATATTAAGGTCTTATAATACACATGAAATGCTAATGAGTACATACTTACATGGTTACATCCATTCTCCTGTGGAGTGTCGAGCAGGCTCATACATCGGTGTAGGCTCTGGGTAGCTACTTAGAGAAACTCCATATGTGACATAAATATGATGACAATAGTTATTCCAAATCATATTATTACGGTAATATAATCCAATTAATAATACTATTTTATTATAATACTAATAATGAAGGGTATCAAATTAAATTAATGATACTTATGTATACTTAAAAATTAAATGTAATTGTAGTGGGTATTAAATGTAATTACAGTAGATATTAAATATAATTACATTAGGGTATTAAATGTAATTGTTAATACTTATAACAAAAAAAAAAGCAAAAAACTTGCACAGCAGTGAGGTATTAAATATAATTACAGTATGTATTAAATATAATTATAATGGGTATTAAATATAATTATAGTAGGATATTAAGTGTAATTATTTATTCTTATAACAAAAAAATTATAAAAGACAGAAGAGCAGTGAGAATTAAATGTAATTATAGTGGGATATTAAATATAATTATAGTGAGTATTAAATGTAATTACAGTGGGTATTAAATGTAATTATAATGGGGTATTAAATGTAATTATTCATAATGAACCGAATATATCACTGTTTTGTCGAAACGGTTCGAAACAATGCCGTTTCGACCGAAACGGTCCGAAACAGTACCGTTTCGACCGAAACAGTACCGTTTCGACCGAAACGGTCCGAAACAGTACAGTTTCGACCGAAACACTGGAATTTTGTGATTCAACTACTGTTTCGTTTCGGAGTGTTGAAATTCCGAAACGTTTCGGACGTGTCGACACGACATTTTGATCCTTGGACAACCCACAAGGGGTTTGCCCTCCGTAATGGAACGGCATATTGTAGGTTCGATTCCAGTCCCTGCGGCTCCCCTCCCCTCCCCTCCCCTGTATGGTTAGCAATACAGCCTAACGGTTTCCAAACAATCTCAGTTGGGGGCATTGGCCCTATTTTATTATGACCAAAGACGAACCATTCTTCATGAAGCTAACAAAGACAAAGCCAAATAACTAGATAAGACAAAATAATACTACCATACACTAAAAATTGGACAAGACTTACGTTAGAAACTTCCTTTTACTTGCAAGATGCAACTTCTTTTGTAATACAATCTGAGCTGAATTATGTTTGCCTTCTCTATTTAGACCATAAAAAACTGTTCGAAAATTAACTGAACTGGGAAAAATCCCACTGTCCAACATTTCAGAAATAAGTTGCAGAGCTTCTTCAGACTTACCTACCTTACAGAGACAAGTAATAAACATCGAATAGGTCTTAAAATCAGGCAGTGGTCCTTCCTGTTTCAAATGATGGAAAACATTCCAAGCGTCAGAAACCTTCCCCATGCTCATATACCCGCGTATCAGTGCTGAACAAGTAACAATGGTTGGTTCACAACCCTCCTCTTTCATTCTCTCATAAATTTCCAAAGCCTTATCCATCTGTTTCTCCTTAAAGAAATGGACTATTAAGGATGTATACACATGGACAGTCGGATAAATTTTAACCTGCTTCATAGATTCCACCTTGGCCAATGCTTCTTCTAATCGTCCCATTCGTAGCAGTCCATGAACAAGGCTTCCGTAAATATACTGATCCAGGATTGGTTGCTCTGGACCAACCTCATCTACCAATGCTAAAGCTTCTTCTAAACTCCCTACTCGACAAAGAGCCCTAATGTACAAAGAATAAGCTAGTGGAATAGAGAAACCAACTTTATGCAGAAACTCGGTACATCTTCGGGCATCCACCAATTTACCATCTTCACACAGACAATGGAGATAAATTTCAACCAGTTCTTTATCAGGAATACAACCTGCGCGAATCATCTCCTGGAACGTTTGGATTGCTTTATCTACCTTCCTTCCTTTTCTTCCACAAAGAGATACGATTAAATACTTGTACATACTACCAGTTGGTGTACAGCCACTAGCTTTCATCTCTCTGAATGTTCGCAAAGCTATTTCTGTAAGACCAACACGACCATATTGCATTATCAGGATTGTCCAAGTGTCGGATGCTATTAAAAATCCATTTCTTTTCATTTCAAAAAAGAGGCTTCTCATGTGCTTAAAATCCTTTCCACGTCCTGCAATTTTGATGGCCATGTTGTAGGTGTCTTTAGTGTGACCATATCCAGCTTGCTTTCCTACCCACGAAAAAAAGTGCAAGGCTGCACCACCATGCAGGCTGCACTTGCGCAAAATCTCCACAACAAGTTCTGATGTGAATGATATAGAGCATTTCTCCAATTTTTCCTGCATTAAGCACCAATCCTTTGAGGATGACAAAATTTGACAAATTTCTTGCAGATCAAGTTCACTGTAAGAACTTGAAGTTGACCCCAGCAAGTAAGAATGCAGACTCCCTTGCTTTACTTGGTTGGACTTTAACTCCAAATTGGGCTCTGGTACACTGGATAGAGCTGTACCAGATTCCTCACTTTCTTGAGGATAATGTTTATAAGATCTCTGCATCTGCTTTACTTTCTCCAACTCCTTTGTTTCTCCTTTTCTCTCCAAGTAGGATTTAATCCAATTGAACAAATCATCTCCAACTAGTATTTTTGAAGCCTGCATTTCATTCAAAACCTTCAAAATCTCATCTGTCCTGGAAATTTTACAAAGCTCCTTGATGAAAATGACATAGGATTTGCGAGTCATCTTAATTCCTTTCTTTTGCATACTCTTAAACTCTTCCCATGCTTGAGATATGCAGTTTTGGCGGATATGACCAGCAACCATAGCAGTTACTGCCACATTATCTACCTCAACTCCTTTTTCCAGCATCTCATTATAAAGGTCGGAGGCTTTCTGAAATTCATTCAACCTGAAGAGGTGTTGAATCAGCTCAGTATAGGTCGAAACTGTAGGTGAGCGTCCAGATTCTTTTATGCTTTGGAACGTTTCAAATGCCTTAGAAACATCATTTCTCCTCAAATACCCGTCAATAATAATTCCATATATCTTTCCATCAACAACGTTTCTTCTGTTCATAATATCAACAATCTCCAGAGCATCAGCAATCCTGTCAGCCCTACACAGTCCTTTCACCAAGGTCTCAAAACTTTCAGGGTCAAGGGTAATACTTTTATGTTTCAAGTTCCGAATCAATTCTAAGGCTTCTCCAATTCTCCCCAAAATGCAAAAACTCTTCAGCATGCAAGCATAAACAACATGTTCGGGAATCTGAGAAACCTTTATCATATCATCCACAATCAAGTGAACCGCTTCAATATCTCCGAACCGTGCCAGGCACTTCAATAACAATTTATACAACCTCATTTCTATCTCCATGTCCTTATGAACCATCTCCTTGTAGAATTCCGTTGCAATTTCAGCTTTTCCAGCATCACAAAGTGCCCGCAACATTAGTTTATAAGCTGCCTCGTCAGGCTCAAGACCAGATTTCTTCATCTTCTCGAAGACCAACAAGGCTTTTCCAATCAACTTCGCCTTCCCGAAATGAGAGATGAGAATGGTCCACGTCTTAACATTCCTCTCACATGAACTCTTCTCCATCTCTTCCACCAATCCCTCAACCAGCCTGAATTCTTTTGCTTCCGAAGCAATATATATCATAGTATTGTAAGTATCAGTTGTATGGCAAAACCCATCACTAAGCTTCACCCAATTGAAGAACCGTAAAGCTAAATGAGGCACCTTAAAGCACCTCTTCAACACTTTGTCAACAACATCCACATTATACTCAAAACTCGCGCTTCCCAACAACTCTTCAATTGAAGCCCCACGGTTTTCACCCCGAACAATCTCTGCGATCTTCTGAACTAGCGGACTAACATCAGTTTCACCCAAGTTCTCCGATCGGATATCTCCCAAACATGATGAATTTTCCTTTTCCAGCTCCATAGCATCCATGGCCTGAGCATTTTCACAAACACTTTGCGCGCAATATGGAGGTTCTCTACTCTTCTCACCGCTTCTCAAATGGGTTTTCTCAGATATTGAAAATCCAGAAGAATCTTTATCCACAATAAGGTTTTCAGTTCCTAAAATCTCGACGATTTCATTGAAAAGCGAATCAAAGTTCTGGGTTTTTCTCTGGTTTTTCATGTGGGATTCTTCAGTTTTCTTAGAATTGTGAAGCTTAGATGCACTAGAGAGCATTGAAAGACGAAAATTTTGAAACTTAGAGACATGACTGCAAAGAATATTGTTTCTGGAATTTGAATTTAGATGTCCGATTGCTATCAAATGCTTCATTATTTTCGACCGTTGCCAGTCTGATTCAATCAAACAAAGAGTGAAGATCTGTAATAGCGTAGTGTTTCCGTTATTATTAAACAATGAGAAAATTACACTTTTCTCCCCTAAACTATTATATTTATTTCATTTTATACCTTCAACTATAAGTTTTTTTATATTATACCATAAAATATTAATTTTGTTTCATATCACTCCAATAAATAACGGCAAATTCGAAAATCTGTCAAAAGAATGAGGAAAATCCCAAAGAGTTTACCGTCAAGTGTCTAGTACCACTTTATTTTACCTCAATTGTAATCAAATAATTATTTGGAAGAAAAAAAAAATTGGTTAGAGGAAGAAATTTTGGAATTTACACTCACATATTCATTTATTGACAAAAAATTGACAACAGTTATCTATTAGAACGATATGAAACAAAATTGATATTTTAGGGTATAATATGAAAAAAATTTAGTTCAAGGTACAAAATAAAATAAAAGTAATAATTCGGAGAGAGAGTGTAATTTACCCTTAAACAATCTATCTAATATCTGTGAGAAAGTAAACAATCTATCTAATATCACCCCCCTTGAATTCTGAATCTTTTATTATTTTGATTAATATTACAAAATTAATTCTAATTGTTTTATTTAGCTCAAGAATAAAATTGTGTTGTATAAATTGTTGTCAGAATCTTGTATTCTAAGTTGACGAGCCCAATTCCCACGGGTTAGACCCAACCAATCAATGGAACCCAAATCAGCCATAAAGCATGTCAAGCCCAGTTCGAGAATTCAACCCAATCCAAGGTCCAAAGAATCCAAGAAAATTAGAACACGTGGGAAGAAATTATCAGGATACTCACTCTTGAAAATTAAGACTATTTTAATTGTACTTACCTTTTGTAGTTATCCTCTCCGAAAAACTAGTACATTTACCCTCACATCACTGCCTCATCATGTCTATAAATTGTAAGTCCTCTTTACATGAGAGGATACATTGAGCTCTATTTCTACACACACATAACTTTTTATCTCTTCTAACTATTGTACCTCTCTCGGAACTAATCATCGCTCTCTGACTCTCATTTACCTTACTTAATTAATAAAGACCCCTAACCACCATTGTCATTTCTCAGAGTAGAGTAGGTCACTCGAACCCAAACTATTATATATCTGTGTGATGACTCAATATTTATATTACTGTCATTGATTGCTTTATTTATTATCTATTAATCATACTTTATCACACACTCGATTGTTGATCTTGTACGAGACTGTTTTGTACATCATTATAAGTGATATATTAAAATTTCATACATTAAATATTTGGTGGGGTTAGTAGACCTCACTAATTCAACAACCTGCATTGATTTGAGATATGAAATTTGGTTAAATATTTGTGCAGTATAGTATTGCTTTTCGCTCAATGTCATCTTTTTTACATCATTATCAATATCAAATAACTCAATCAATACATTAATATAAGGGAAATCTATGGCACCAAAAAAAAAAAAACGGTACCAGTATCATCAATTACTATATCATCAATTACTACTTTGTATAATAAAGTTACAACTTTGAAAAGAAAAATTATAACTATTCAAAGGAGTCATGATCAATCATAGACACCAATAATAGATCATAAAAAATGCGATATTGATTCTAACATTCCAGGTCGATCATTCCCGTTGAAGTTATTACTTACACCTCAAAAAAATTATAACTTAACTTTAAAAAATTATAATTTTCGATATTATTACCGACAATAGTATCGTAGAATCTCCCTTAATAAACACAATCTCATTGATTAATCTACATTACCTTTCTTTTCACTTTAATTTTAAATTACGTTATTAAAAAATAAAAATAAAAATAATTTATTATTTAAAATATAAATATTATAGGATCAATATTTAATTTTTTTTATTACACAAATACGAGATATTGCTAGTGTGATAGTAATAATTAATTTTTAGACTTATAGGGCTTGTTTGGTTGCCGTATTAGAAATGGATAGATTAAATAAAATAATTCGGTCTAATACAATACAGAAGGACAAAAAACAAAACTAAATATGATATTAAAATCATGCGTAATTTTATCTAATATTTAGTAATACATAACATAAACGTTGGATAATAATTATTTAATCCAATTGGTTGTTTGGTTAAAGAATTATTTTATCGTATTAATGTTGAATTAACAAAAATACCCTCAATCAGTGTTTGTTACATTGATGACATTTTGATTTTATCAGTTAAAAGATTATAATAGTAAATGTGCAAAATAATACGTTTGAGTTGGATTATAATACCACATCTTTTGGTGGTATTAAAATACCTCCATAATATAGGTTTAACGTATAAAAAATATACGATAATTATACGATTAATATATATTTTTGAAATTAATACAGTGTCAAATTTACTTACCAAACAAAATATTAGGCTCGATTAAATAAAAAATAATACAATCAAATATTTAATCTCCCTCATAATACGTCTACCAAACGAGCCCATAGTGTAATTATTTTTACTCCAATAATAAGTAATTAGCTTTAAGATTTTTAGAGTAAGTATTATTCAATCATCAATAATTGATTTAACTTTTAAAATAATTATACCATTACTGATTGAAACATGAACATTTTGTATCTATCATATTCTAGCTGCTTGGAATAGAATTTTATGAATTACAACGATTTATGAGTTATTCTTTTCATGGATGGGATAGCTTTTATAATTTATAATTGAATAATATCCGTCATATGGTAATCAAAATAGTTCATGTGCACTAACAAGTAAACTCAAAAAAAAAAAAAAATTATACAAACACCATAAAAAATTATAGAAAAATATTCTTTTATATATATATATATATATAATATGTATAAATGGGGTTGTTGGACCGACTTAACTAATTTATTATTCATATTAATAAATGTTATTTAATTTTTTTTAAAAATTAAATATTTTTCACTGTATCGAGTTTTGGGTGAAAAATTATCACATTTGATAGTTAATTATTAACATAATAGTTGATATCTCGGAAAAAAAAAAAAACGTTTAGGTAGTTATTAGTACGGGTGATATTCGTTAGTACGACACAAATATGATATAAAATTGGTGACCGTAGGATGAATCTATTTGAAATCATCGAATGAGTTTATTGAAGTCTGTATTATTTTATATTATAGATAGATGAACTTAACATAATATAATTAATAAATAATTTAGGATAAGTGAAATCAATTAAAATATATATACATATATATATATATATATTGTGACTTGTTTATGTATTGGTTATATGCATTTTATATATAATACAAACCCAATAAAACATACTTTATTAGATACAAATTAATAAATAAATTAAATATGAATAAAATATATTTTTAGCATAATCTAAGCACACCTCACCCGACATTGGTGGATCTAGTTACTGGGTGTCAATAAGCCCAAACTCCACTATAAATAATCCCAAACTTCCTCCTCTACACAGAGTAAGATTTCTGGATTGTGCTCGAAGCAAGGCGGAACAACCGACAATGGGTTGGATGCGGAAACATGATGAATCCTCCGACAGTTCTTCGTTCGGTGAAATTAGCGAATTCTTTGAAAACTCAAACCCTAGGTCCGGCGATCGATGTGCCACGAGGAGGGTCGTCAAATCGCAGTGCCGCACAGAAGAGGTGGAGCCCGGAAAATTCGTCCGAAAGTGCGACAAAACTGAGCAAATCTTCAAGGATTGCGTTGGAAGGTACTTCCAATTTTTTTCTTGTATCGGTTTATTTGGTTCGAATTCATTTGGTTGGTTTAAAATTGTTGGAGAAGAGCAGAAAGGTTGTGATTTTGGATCTCTTTTTACTGTTTTTTGAGAGCTGGCTAATTGGATACTCGGTGAGAATCAGAAGTTGTGTTGTTGAAAATTTCAATTTCCAATTTTCAATTTTTTTGCTCCAATGTTCACTTAATAAGCCGAATTTGATATGAAATTCGGGCTAATATGTCCATAGTTATTCTTTTTGGTAAACAAACTATGAATTTATCAACTCTACAAAGAATTACAGAAGAACGTTTGGGAGATAATAAGAAATTGATTTCTAGGTACAATAGAAATATGTTTTGCCTTACCAGCAATATCATGGTACAACGGAGAAAATCTGGTGGCATGCAGAGACACCTCCCTCATACCTTAAAGGATCCCACCTAATGATGACAGACATCCCTGTTCCTCAGATAAAACCACGGCACAATTAAGATTTCCTTCTTGAAATTAGATTGCTGTGTTTGTGTGAGCTTGCTGAAATTCCTTTTGATAGTTCAATTCGGAGAGGGCGGTGGATTCTTGCCTCCAAGGCTCCAATCTACCTAGTCTTGCTTGATTTCTGCAATGTCAAGTGGCCCAGGCTAGAATTAACAGCAAAACAAATATATCAGCAGTAAGAGTTTTCAACTTGTACCTGATGAGCTCTGCTGTAAATCTTGATGTTGCCAAATGAGCTGAGCAAAATAGCAAGTCTTCAAAACATGAATACCTGTTTCAGACTTGTTACCACACAACTAACAATTATCATGAACCGGGATTTTCTGCCTAATTAGGTTTTTCTGGGTAGGTCGAATATTGTGAACATCCCTTCAAAGAAACTGGACTTTATTTCCTATGGATTTTTTTTTGGAGTTGTTATGCATATTACCATATAAACGAGTTCCTGGGATATGAGAGGATTAATCCTGTAAATTCGTATCTCTAACAGCTAATACATGTTACATCCCTTTTTGGATAGCGTATCGGAGAAGGTCATGAATATCCATTTGACTGATTAATGAGGTGACAATATATGGGCAGTCTGGTCAACAAATAAGTAGATGACGATAAAACAACAATTAGATAGTAAGGTTATCACCAGGCAAAGTGACCTTTATTATGGAAAACAATAATACCCCACCTTGGCCCAAAATAGGTAGCAAAATTGCAAAAGTCCCCTTATGCATCCTTATACTATTCATGGGTAGTTATGCTCCCGAATGGGACCTAGTTATGTCTTATGCCATATACGAAAGAAGTGTTTCCTCTTATTTTCTTTTATGGGGTTGTCTAGCAACTCACAGATGAAGAATGTCTTTTTGAGAAAGCCTTGGCCAAAAAATAAGAAATATGTTTTGTTAGGAAAATATTAGCATGTAACATAAGTGATCATTGGATAATTGTGTTGAAGGCATGTTTCTCTTTTATATATCATTAATCAGGTTGGTTATACCACTTTCAGTATAGAGCTTCTAGGTACTATAATATTGATTAGGACCTAATGAAATCGAGGGAAAACTTTGAGGTGGATGACAAGGCTAGTATTCATTCTAGTACAAAAGGTTTGGGTATCTGAGAAACATATTGGTGAGATAAGTATTTCAAATGAGCACATGGACATGAAAGGCCGAATTACCAGGCAAATGTTCCAAATGGCAAGAAAGCAAGGGTATGAATGTGTTTCTAGATTGTGGGTGTAGTATCTATTGCTTTACTGTTATAGAATTTGTATGTCTTGCTTTCAATGTGCATTGGAGGTTGTCAATGACCTCGCGCTGTTCAGGGTGGTTGAGTGTCACAATCATCTGTGTATATTTAACTGGGAAATAGAAACAAATTTTTTTTAACCTTTTTTTTGTTGGGTTAGAGAGAGAGAGAAGGGGGGGGGGGGGGTGCACAATTTTTTTTAAAATTTTTGCAGAACACGGGTGTCTTGAAGGATACAATTGATGCAGAAATTCCAATACTCCTTTTATGGCCAATTACAGTGGTTTGGTAAGGATAGATTATGACAGTTTCATGTATAGGCTTTATGTCAATCGCTTGTTTAATCTATTTTATTAACCTAAATGTGCTTGTGACTTGATAGAAATTCGATTGTTTGAATTGCTCAGCATCTGATGTTGCAACGTTGTTTCAGACTTTTTATAAAGGTGACTTTGCTCTGATCAATAGGTCTGGTTCTAATGGTAGGTTTTAATCTTCCTAGTATACAAGTGCACCTTAACATGAAAGGCATTTGATGGACTGAATTGCCCGCATAATGAAAATGTCTTAATGCCTATAATAATGTGATCACATAATAAGAGAATTATGAGAACATACATATTACTACACTCTGTCATGGTCATAACTGTTACTTACAATAAACTATAAAAGAGTTTCTATGTCTTCTATTTTTCCATTTTTTGGAATTTTATGCTGCTTGTAACTCATAATAGACCACTGCATCTGGACTGCTTTTCGCTGATTTACAGCAATAGTTTGATGTTTCTGAAATTCTGATTTAGACAATTTTCTATATATTCAGTCATGATATGAACTGTTCACAATTAGGGGCAGCAATTTCTATAACAACATGAAAACATGACTCGAATTTGACACATAATTAGTGGTTTAGGGTTGATCATTTCTAAACATGAACCTGTAAATGACACGACGTGTTAACACGAATAATAAATGGGTTAGGTTAGTGTTAAACACGAACAATACGAAATTGACACAATTAACACGTTCAACTAATATTATATAAATAAAATGCTAATTGTTTGTTATTTTTTATTAAGAATTGACATAATTATTGTACAAAACATATATTTTTACTCATTATTATTGTTATGTTTATTAAGTTAATTTTTAATTTATAAAAAAAATATGATCATGAATTCAATTAATTGATAATAGATTCTTAGATTTAAATCTTAATGTTAAGTTCTTTATTCGTTTGTATGGGTCAACACGAAACGAACACGAACCCAATACGATCGGCAGGACACGATTAGTTAAATAGATTGAATTAGTGTCGACTAGTGCTCGACACAAATCCTCAATGACACGACACAATACAACATGATTGCCACCCCAATTCACAATGATAAAGATATTGTAGTCTATTGATGGAAACCGTAAGTGGTTATGCCTATGAAGGCACATTTATTTCTGCAATTTCTTTGAAGAGTGTACTATCGGCAAGTCAATTTCTATGTGTCGTGACAAACGAAAATCCTGGAATTATTTAGGAGTATTGTGCTGTGAACTTGCCCAATCTATCTCATTGCATATTGGTTTCACGTCATTGATCTTTTTATTCAGGCCCTCTGAAGTGGTGCAATCCAATGAAGAATACACTGAAGAAGAAGTTACAGAGCAGATGATGAAAGGTTCTTTTCACATGGACTCAATAGAGCTTGGGCCATTTAAATTTCCTGGGCCTCGTTGTGATGTTGAAACCATTGAACGTAGCTTCTTTGGTGGCCTTAGCCGTTTCTTCGAAGCAGCTGACGAGATGACAAATGGTTTCTTCAGTGTATTTGGGGCTCCCCACATATTTGATGGGGATTCTTCATCCTCAACACCTAATAGGAGGGGAACACCCACTGAGCGCCATGCTCCTGAAGAAGCCTCTCCTAAAATGAATAATGCTGATGGAGCTGTCAATATTTCTGGATTGGCCCGAGATGTTTGAGCTAAGCTATCTTAACACTAGCACTATTTTTTTTTTTTTGAGAGAATTAGTAGTATTATGTCAGAAAAGTGAGAACTATAAATTCAACCGAAGTAGGATTTGAACTTACGACCAATCAGTTAATAGCCTACTACTGCTTTACCACGGAGCAACTGAGGAACAACGGACTTGAGGAAGTTGACTCTCGTTCTTTGGACCATTGTTAATGATTGTTATGCGTGTATCTGTACATACGTTAATAGAAGATTTTGAAACTTGATTGTCAGGCTTGTTTATTCCATGTAGCCCTCCATCATTGTGTTCGTGATGCAGATATAGGGCACAGGTCAGTTCACTATTTTACTTCTTGCTACCATGTTCTGTCATAATGTTTGGTCTAGTGGTAAAAAAATTGGGTAAATAAACGTGAGATTAGGGGTTCAAATTCAAAAGCATTTTGTTTTTGTAACGGGGAATTGCTCTGATCACGCACTCTATAGATATATGTTTGCAGCTCAATCTTTTAAATCGTATAATTGTACTTGTAATTAACATGCATTGATTAAACATAGAATTCGTGCAGTTAGGAGGATGGCCTTGAACCCAGGATGTACATATTTGTGCGGGTTGAATTTGCAAGTAGCAACTTTATGCAAATAATACACAACATTTAGATTGTGTTTGGTCGCAACTTGGGTTAACCGGAAACTAATAGGTAGTAATTTTTTTGTTAACGTATAAATAACTAAGTTATACTTTGTCAAACAACTTAAGTTTTTGGAGTACTTTTCTTTACCGTCTAGCGGCGTTCTTCTTTTCAATACAAAAGCTTCTCAACAGAACAGTTGAAACTGACTTTTCTCTACCCTGTGCCGATCCTTCTCTACCCTGAGTTGGACTCATATCTTGACAGAGTTTCTTAGTACCTCCTTATCAAGAGTAAGGCTATGGTACCCAAGTCGGCTTGGTATCTTGCACCTTTTTTTAAAGTCTGTTATGGATATTTCTCTTAGTCGAACGAGTTCGAGTCGAATTCGAGCCGAATTTGTTTCTTTATTGAGTTTTAAAAATTGTTCAAGTTCGGCTCATTTAAGAAACGGGTCAAACCCGAGTTGAGCCCGAGTATTTGCACATAAATGAGCGAAACTTGTCGAATTTGAACCGAGTTTGTGGGACTTGTTTTTTAAACGAATTTCAAAATTTGTTTAAGTTTGAGCTCGTTTAGAAAATGAACCGAACCTGAGCCGAACTCAAGCCAAGCTCGAGTAGTTTAGCTTGATTAACAGTCCTATGGATCATACCAGGAAGTTTAGGTGGTGTTTTTTTTCCTTTGTGTGAAGTCTTTCTTTCCTTATAGATATGATTATCCTAGTGTTCTGAGTGCCATAGTGCTCTTTTGCCATTTTGATGGAGTCACAACACGAGTGTTTTGACCTGACCAACGAGATACCGACTACAAAGGCGTAGATTTAGGTAGAAAATGGACGAGCTCGTGTTTTAATAAAGCTTTCAAACTCCATTAGAAGAAGGTATTGTTTTCCCCATATAAAGTTTTCAAAATCGATTTGATTAGCGTACTAGGTTTACCCGTGCAAACGCACAACAATTGTGTAATATAAAAATGGGTGATTAACTCTCGGATCTAAATAATTTAAATTGTTAGTATACTTTACATTTGAGTATATCTTCTTGTTGGAGAAGTCTATTGTGCCGAGAAAAAAAAAATCAGTATCGTACCACTAATATAAATTTTGCTAATTTTTTTTTTTATAACTTTTGTGATAATTTGCGATCGATCTTATTTTAGAATTGATTGCAATCTATTACATAAGTGATAGCTTGGCTCAAAAAAATTGTAACTCAATATGACCTAAAAAATTATATTTATTGTTGTAAATAAACTAAAAAACTTGAGCACCAAAGTTTTCTCCTTTACGAGGATAGTAGTTGACATAATTGTCAATGCCATTAGTCATTAGACCTCTAGATTGAGGGTTTGAACCTCATCGTCCTCTCCCCTGTAACTACTAGTGGTAAAGTTACAAATTTTATCCCGAGTGGACACCCTGACTAAAGGGTTTAATTTTTTTTCTCCACAATGACTAAAAATAAACTAACATATTTAAATTTATTGTGTTATATTTGCTGTTTGAATGTTCATTAAATACTGTCAAACAATTATATACCCAAAAAACTTAAGCTATTAAAGATTATATAACTTAAGTATTTATATTTTAACACACGCCATCGCGTTCAAGCAAGATTTTAGGTTTAGCAAGTGTAAATATTTTTTAATAATTAGGGTAGTGGCGAGATTCAAACACATGATTTCTTATTGTGATACTATATTAAACAACCATTTACTCTAAAAACTTAAGCTGTTAGAGAGAATGTAACTTAAATATTTATATTTTCACAAATATAATGGAGCCAAACATCGATGCACATAACATATATAAACCAAAAAAAAAAAGATTAATTAGAACTCTTCACAAAAAATGAGGTTAATTTCATACAAATGACTCTGATGAACTTTCTTACTTTAAAATCGTTATTCTATAATACCATTATCACCATTAAACAAAATTTTTATATACAAAATTAAGCTATAAGTGATTCATTAGTGATCATTTATTTAATTATGTAATTACGTTTTTATAATTTTCGTAGCTTAAATAACTACAAAATGAGCCTAACATATCAACTAATTATCTAAATATGTCTATAATGAATTCAAAGTGTGTGCAAAAATTTATAGTCACTTAAATTTTAGGTCATATTAATTGATAGAACAAAAAAAATATTAGTGTGAACGAATTTAAATATACCTAATAATTGACATAAATATATATATGAATAATATATATTTTTAAAAAATTCAGTTTGGACCCGTGCTCCCTTGTCTCCTCTTGGCTCTCGCATTGCCCGTAACAATTTCAAATGGTGACGAAAAAAAACGGGGGAACTTCTATGGTATCGCCTGCGGGATCAGTACCGAAAATTACAACATTTTAAGGTTGAGGTACAATTTTTTTGATGTATAAGTTACAACTTCAAAGGGTATGATTCATCATAAAATATTGGGATCGGTACCGCATTTTTCATGATCGATCATGAATAACTGTGATCAATCATAATTTTACCGTACAATATAATAACCGATGATACCCATACTAATTGTTTTTAAAATAAAAGTCTACTCCCTTGATGTTTTACAAGACACCTACCTACATTTGCCACTGCTGTGTTTCAAACGTGTGGATTGGTGAAGCCAATTGATTTGAAAGGGGGTTGGTTTTTCCCACTTTGGAAGGCTAGTTTTTCTTTCCACATCGCGCATCTATCAGCCGCCCAAAACGTGTGTAGCGACGTTGAAATTTTTTGTGGGTCTTCGGCCAACTGGATTAACCGAGTAAGTCTGCAATAGAGAGAAGAAAATTATAGTATAAGTAAAAGGGTAAAAGTATAATAAATATAGAGAAAACAAAATAAAGGAAAAAAGCTTGGCTTTTTGAACATGGTACATGATTCAAGTTCACATTGATTTTGATTGCCGAGTTTAGATTCTTTAGGTTTGGCTTGGCTCGACATGACTGGTTTTTGTGCTATAATTTCCAATTCAAGCTTAGAATTTAGTAATTCTAAGAATCGTACGCTCAATAAAACTCGAATATGTAGTTTCGGAATTTGGAATTATAAAAAAATAAAGCTTGGACTTATTAAATCAGAGAAATACATTAATTAATTATAAAAAAATTAATCCATTCATATATATATATATATATTTATATCATCGACATTTGATGCCACCAATGGCCTATACAGCTCAAACACCCAAGACAGCCATTTACAATAATTAATTAAATATTGGCACCACCATAGGCCGGCTGCCGGCGGCCGGGGGCTCAAAGGTTGCCTGTCCCAGCGCCACCTTGTTGGTGTTGCTGATTTTGAATCTTTCAAAACTCACAAATTAAAAATATTAAAGGTGAGATTACGATCACAACAACGTACGTAATCATAAAATAATGCTATTATATTTATTTTATCGAAAATAATTATTAAAAAAAGAACCTTAGTGTCTCACCACTACCAAGTAAATGTATATATATTAGTGATTGTATATTTATTTGGATCACATAGCTGGATAATAAACGTCATTTTTTTTGGATTTTTGTCCCAAAAAAAAAAGCAACTTATAATAAATAATACTTTGGCTTGAATTTTTCAAAAATAAGAAAGTTATATTTAATACCAGCAAATTTTAATCAATTGTTACTTTGGTGCTATTGTTTTTTTTATATAAAATTTGACCTTGTTCTTTCCACAAATTTTAATTCAATTCAACCAAAATGACAATTAGATTTTTCATTTAATTACACGATTTTTTTCGTTTAGTAGAGTTTACATTACACGTTAGAGTGTTAACTGAGTCGATCACAATTCGAAACGAGCCCAAATAATTCGACTATTTTACATATAAACGAGTTGAACCTAAAACATTATTTAAACTCAGCTCGTTTAGAATACGAGTCAAGCTCGAACCGAGTCCTATATGAGTCGAACTTGAGTAATTCGTCTCAATTAACACCTCTAATTAAGTGATGCACAAATGTCATTTCTTCGTAATTACATGTGATAATTTCCATCAAAAAATTTTGATAGAAGTTGATGATTGAGTTGACTTTTTTTTTAAAAACAAAAAAACTTCAAGCACCAAATTTATAATTGATGTAAACTTGGAGGGCAAAAACTGTAATTAATCTCATCAACCATTTTTTTCTGTTTTTAAATTATATATATATATATATATTATACCTAACGCGTTTTGAAACTTTCCAACAGAAAAACCTGTAACTTTTCCTCTTCTCTTCTTCCTCCTCCCTTCCCCAGCCCACTCTCGCATTCGCATATAAATTTTCGAGAAGGAAAGAGAAAAAGAAGACACCCAGACGACCTATTCAAACTTCAATCCAAAAAACAGATTTATAAAAGAGTGAACAGGTAAAAGAAAGACAACTTTCTTTCCTCATTCTTTCTTGTATTGCAGACTTTTCTTGTTCTTCCATAAACGTCCACAACCTTCTTGTTGTTTTCGTATTGGGTTTGTCGGATTGTTCTTAGTTACATTTTATGATCATCTACTTCAGAGACTAATAATTCAATTTGAAGGGTTTGAAGCCTCTTTGTAGGTTGTGTTTTGGTGTCTTCTACTCATCTTCAAGCATTGATTATTGATAGAATGAGTTTGTAAATTTGGGTTTTCTAGTTTTTCCAATTGGGTTCGAATTCGCCTAATTGGATTTTCATTATTGGGTTGAACAGACCTTCAAATTGGTGTGTAAGATTGTTAATTAGTGTGTGTGATGTTGTCATTGATTTGGCTTGTAGTTGAGTTGGTCATCTTACAGTGGTGAGAAAAGCTTAGACATTGTGTTGTTGCTTTAAATCAATGAACCCTTTTGGGTGGGGGAACTAGGGTTCAAACTGTGTGTGATAAGACCAGTAGAGGGAATTTTTAGGAAGTATATCGTAGTTTTAGATGGGAAATAACTGCGTTCAAGCGAGGAACTCGAAGGATGGATTCTTTTATTCCATTTCCAATACAATATGGTGGTCTCGATCACCGGATATGATTACGTATGATAATAGAGAAGTTAGTATCGAACCGCCCTCTGCAGCTAAAGAGCCTGAAGCTCCTGAATCTGTGCAAAGTAAGCCCCCACAAGTGGTGATGATAGTTAAGGAAGAACCTAAATTAGCTCAGCCCACCAGACCACAACAGGTGATCATGATAGTGAAGGAAGAGAAGAAGCCAGCAGAGCCCACGGGGCCTGAACCGGTGATCAAGATAGTGAAGGAAGAGAATAAACCATCAAAGCCCTCAATACCAAAGAAAACCCACAATGTCAAAAGAATGTCAAGTGCAGGGCTTCAGGCAGAGTCTGTTTTAAAGACAAAAACGGGTCATCTAAAGGAGTACTACAATTTGGGGAGGAAACTTGGGCATGGCCAGTTTGGAACTACTTTTCTTTGTGTGGAGAAAGCAACCGGAAAAGAGTATGCCTGCAAATCTATTGCAAAAAGGAAATTATTGACCAAAGATGATGTGGATGATGTCAGGAGGGAAATTGAGATCATGCATCACTTGTCTGGACACCCCAATGTCATTACAATCAAAGGGGCTTATGAGGATGCTGTGGCAGTTCATGTTGTCATGGAATTGTGTGCAGGAGGTGAGCTCTTTGATAGGATTATTAAGAGAGGACATTATACTGAGAGAAAGGCAGCCGAGCTCACAAGGACTATAGTCAGTGTTATCGAAGCCTGTCATTCATTGGGAGTCATGCATCGGGACCTCAAGCCTGAAAATTTTCTTTTCAACAACGAGCTGGAAGATTCACCTCTCAAGGCTATAGATTTTGGATTATCAGTATTCTTCAAGCCAGGTAATTTCCAAAAGCATTTTCCTTCGAAACTCATCCTTTGGCACCTGCATATCTAACGGTCTTCTTGTCCTTTCTCCTCATCCTTAGTACCTCTAGCTTGAACCGTAGTTGTGCCAAACAATGTAGATCAAGCTCTCACAAAGTTTTTCCCTTCAATTAGGCAGTTATGAACTTATCACACATAAGACTTCAAAATGAGCTTTAGAATTCAGCCTTTTGTCTTTACTAATAGTTTATTTTGATGATAAAGATTGGATCGTAGATGTCTTTTATTCACATGCCTTAATCACTACACGTTTCTATTTTTAATTTCGAAACAATAATTTCCCTGGAGTTTCCTATTAAAGAAAAACCTTTTAATTCAAGAATTTTTCTTCCCTGTTTTGGTGTAGGATCTATTGCTGCCTAATTTTGATTGATTAGAATGGCTAAAGAGGTGGAAAAACTCATATAATGGTACACTAAAATATGAGGGTAATTTGTGCAGGGGCTGTATTGCAATTACTTTCTTTCTTGACAGTATGATTTTAATTCAATACAATTTCCAAGACAAAATAATACAGTCCACCTCATATAATGTTGTAACACTGAGGATTGAATATGTTATGGTATGCCTGACCCTCCCCAAACCCCGCAGTGGTTTGAAGCCTTGTGCATTGGGTTGTCCTTTTTAATACAGTAATAGCAATCTAACATTAGCTATTTGTGTGGTGGAAGCATAATATTTTGAGCATCTGTTGATTTTTTTGGCGTTCATATACATTTTTTTGTAGCATATAATGTATGATTCTGCTATGCTTAGTTTTTCACTGACAGTCCTAAATTACAGGGGAAACTTTCACAAGTGTGGTTGGAAGCCCTTATTATGTTGCACCAGAAGTTTTGCGTAAGCGCTATGGTCCAGAGGCAGATGTTTGGAGTGCTGGTGTGATGGTTTACATTCTCCTTAGCGGAGTGCCTCCATTTTGGGCTGGTAAGATCTAGTTGTCCATGACTTATCATATCTTTTTCCTTGATTTTCATATGGTATTTTTGACTGTTGGCAATCATAAAAACTGTTTCTTAGCCGTGTTACCATTTGATTCCAGAATCTGAGCAAGATATATTTGAAGAGGTTTTGCATGGTGATCTTGACTTCTCATCAGATCCATGGTCTAAAATCTCTCAAAGCGCAAAGGATTTAGTCAGGAAAATGCTTGTAAGAGACCCCAAAAAGAGGCTAACAGCTCATGAAGTTCTGTGTGAGTTAATCATTCTACTTCAACTTTTATGATTCAGATATGCATAGATATAAAAACATAAGTGCCTGTATTATAACATCTCAGATGTAGTGCAGTGTAAGATGAATACATCTGCTTGTTAACTTTGAGATGAAAGAAGTTCTACCTCCTTTAAGATCCCCTAGATCAATTAATAAAGCTTTTCAAATCTCTGTTGAGTGAAATATTGGCTGTATAAGCATAAGACCGGTGCCGTGTCGTGTCAGGTTTGTGGAAATAATTTCCAGCTTCAGTTGCTTACATAACAGAAGAAGCTGTATATAATCCCATATGACAGGGAGTTTAGACCTCTCTATGGTGATTTATAGAAATTTTCTTCGTCTTTTAGTTTTGTAGAGATACATTCATTTGATTAAAGTAGGTGGTTATTTATAGATATTCTTGCTTAAAGAGTAGAAATCACAGTAATATATAGATTTGAAATTCAGGTTCTTGCTTGTACATAACTTTATGTCTTACACTGGTGATTCTTATTTGGATTCCTGCAGGCCACCCGTGGGTTCAGGCTGATGGGGTGGCTCCTGACAAGCCTCTCGATCCTGCTGTCTTTAGTCGCTTGACACAGTTTTCGGCCATGAACAAGCTTAAGAAAATGGCTCTTAGGGTAAGAGTTGCTGTGATATCACATAATTTATTTTGTATAGAGTACCAGTGACTTCTGCTTCACTTATTTTAACATCTGGACTACTCTTGATGAAGAATTCTATTTCCATACATACATTGCATATTAAACTTTCGCACGAAACTATAATTTTGGCTGTGTGTAGGTATCAGTCATGGTTTATATATTGTTAAATTTGTTGTTTTCTGCCTGTAGGTCATTGCAGAGCGTCTCTCTGAAGAAGAAATTGCTGGGTTGAAAGAAATGTTCAAGATGATAGATACAGATAACAGTGGCCAAATTACGTTTGAAGAACTCAAGGCTGGACTCAAAAGATTTGGAGCTAACCTTAATGAGTCCGAGATATATGACTTAATGCAGGCTGTAAGTATTATTATTATAGAATCTCTTTCCTCATTTTATGTCTTGGAATCAAAATGAATTCTTTATCATTCCAATGGAAGACTTGTAGCAACATTTGATGCGATGGGTAATGTCGGTGAATATGTTTGCAATTGCCAATAGGATGTATTGGAAACTTAGAAGTTTATCCTACTGAATTTTGATTCGAGCCTTGAAATTGCAGTACTTTCATTGAATAGCTATATGTTGCTTTAGCTTCTTTTGATTCCCTTGTTTGTTATGAAAAAATGCAGGCAGATATTGATAACAGTGGTACTATAGACTATGGGGAGTTCATAGCTGCGACGTTGCATCTTAACAAAATCGAGAAAGAAGATCATCTACTTGCTGCTTTTTCATATTTTGACAAAGATGGCAGTGGTTATATCACTCAAGATGAGCTTCAACAAGCTTGTGAGGAGTTTGGCATAGACGATGTCCACTTGGACGAAATGATCCAAGAAGCTGATCAAAACAATGTAAGTTTCTGTCTGATCTTATTAGTTCTCACCATTTGATATACAAGTCACCTTCTGCATCCATAGATGCACAAAAAGGGAAAACTAGACACCAACATGCTTGTATGAGGGTCTTCTTCTTTCTGCATCGGTAATTAACCTCAGTTATACTGGCCTTTCAGGATGGATGCATAGACTACAGCGAGTTCGTGGCTATGATGCAGAAAGGAAATACTGATTTTGGTAAGAAGCGGTTACAGAAGAATTTTAGCATCGGCATTAGGGAGGCACTGCAGGTTTGCTGACATAGTGATGGCATGACCTTCTATCTATACTTTTTTCATTGATTATTTTGTACTTAATCCCAGCTCCTTGTTTTTTGTATATGTGGAGGAAAGAAATTATGGCATTTGCTTGTGAGAGTTTGGACTTTCTCGAATGCAAAGCAATGAAAAATGAATAAAGTCAATAAGATCATGCCCGGTCCACCACCATTCATTGCTAACCAAAAAGTCCATGTGAGCCAGCTCACAACATGGCAGGTGATGTGATTAGTCATCAATAATAGAACACCCAAAAACATAAAATATCAGTAATCTAATAGCAATAAAGATAGAATGTAAAACATAAATCATCATTAATCTAATAGCAATAAAGATAGCTTGCAACATTTCTCAAGTAATGTTACGTAAAAATAAAAATTAGATTTAATAATCATAACTAATGAATAGTTAGTGAGTTTTAATACATGCTAAAATTCAGAGTAAAATTAATTATTATAATTATCAAATATATTTTTTAAGTCTAATTTTTTAACACCCAAAAAAATAAAATATCATTAATCTAATAGCAATAAAGATAGCACGTAAACGTAGAATATTGAGATGGGTCTTTCTTGTAGGGTATTCGTCTTAAGTTCGATATTTTTCGCACCTCATAAGTATTAACCACTTTAATTTCTTATGAAATATGTTTTTGAATTAATTTGAATTACGCCGATCAACTCAGAGTTCGAAAGAATAGTCGATATAAATCTAAATATCCTATAATAAAAAATAATAAAATATTAATAAATGCCTATATAAATGGGCAAGACTTTACCACTAAAAGCTATTATTCAAAACAATGCAATAAAATTGATTTTAACAATTGACATAATGATCACAATTTTCCTGTATAACTTTAAAATTATAAGTTCGAATCTCGTGAGTCGTCGTTGTTAACCTTAAAGTCATATGTTTAAATCCCGTAATCCCCTTTTCTACAATAGTGCCCGACCAAAATAATAAAATTAAACCCTAAATTGGCACATTGATTTGTAGCTTAGTATAGTACCAACTTGGTCTTGACAAAAAAACATGCGGTCACATTCTGTCCAAAGCCTAAGAAATGACTAAAAGAGTTTCTTTGGGCATGAACAAATAATTGACAGTGACATTTTTTTTTCATTTTTATTAAAAGGAAGACTTGGCATCCCATCCCTTGTTCACAAAAAAATATGCGAGATCTACGTCTACGCCATCTGAAATTTGTCACTTCCTCGTTCAGGCTCTTTGATATTTGACATGTTATTCACACACCTCTTAAAATTTGTGCAGATATAACACTTAAACTTCGACTATAAATATATTTGATAATAAATTACACTTAGATCCTAGGAATTTATAAACATATATTACTTAGACTCCTTAAATTTAAAATATTATAGTTAAATAAAAAATACTTCAATCAAAGATAGAATATCAAATATTTTAAATTTTATAGTTAAAACTCTTGTTTTATTGTATCATTTATTAAAATAAAGTCAAAAATAAAAATTCAACTTTTTCTTAAAAAATCGAAATTAGTACACAATTATATTAGGAAGTTAAGTTGATCGTTTGAACAACTAAATTAAAATACCAAGCAATCCCAATTAAAATGAAAATATATTGTGTCAATTACAGTCTGACACTTTATTTAATTTTTTAATTTTATTTTAATAGATAATATAATTATATACTAATTAAGATTTTTTTAAAAAAAACTAAAATTTTATTTCAATAAATAACATAATCGAACATAAATTTTGGGTGTAAAATCATGTTTTATTATAAATGACTTAGACCTCTTATATAATTTTTTAGTTTTATTTCAATATATAATTTAATTGCATACTAATTACAATTTTTTAAGAAAAAATTAAATTTTTTAAGAAAAAATTAAATTTTTATTTTTAATTTTATTTCAATAAATAATATAATAAAACATAAATTTTAATTATAAAATTTAAAATATTTGATATTCTATTTTTAATTAAAATATTTTTTATTTAAATATAATAATTTAAATTTAAGGAGTCTAAATATTAAATGCCTACAAACTTCAAGAGAGTCTAGATGCATAATTTATTAACGAATATATTTATTGCAGAAGTCTATGTGTTATGCGCGTACGAATTTCATAAGATCTGTGTATAATATTTTAAATATCAGAACGATTGAGTAATTAAGTGACAAACCTCGAAAAGCTGGATATAATTCTCCTAAAAAATAATCAATCAAACAGTCACCACGGACACAACCACTACGAGTATAATATCTTCATCCACCATACTAGTGTTACAAATAAACAAACAAAGGCGCATTCCATACACAAGAGAACACGAACAATGGAAAAACTATCATTTTCAACATACCCATTGAACTCATAGCTGTGGCAGTAAGCTCAAAATGTATACAATCGCACACAAACTATGTGTACTGAATCAAAAAGACAGCGCTCGAGGTTTCTCAAGGTAGTAACCCATAAAATAGTACTATGCGAGGAACAGATTGAAGAAGAAATGGATGCGCAAAGAAGCAAAAATAGCAAACCAGGAACCGACTGAGATGGACTTTCATTACTGTGCATACACTGTCTGGTGAAGCAGGAATAAATACAATAAAAAATGATAAGTAATTACAGTATATGTAACAAAATAACAAGAAATTTCCTCTTCCCTCTTTCATCTTTCATGGGGATTTGTAGAAAATACTTCAATACAAGCACCTCCTCCATTTATCTACTCATGCCATCCAAAACTGCCAAATTTCGAAAAACATTGTGACCCCTAAAATGCATAATTAGCTAAAACGATATGCGGAATGATATGAATTTATCGATATATACTCACATTTGTGCATTGCAGGGTTTCGTTTTTCTCTCTCCTGGGATTTTTTGAGGGTGTAATTTCAATGACAGGTAGAGAAATGAGAATCCTGTCCAAAAGCACCAAGCATTCTACATGTCACTTCCAGCAATTTCCCTGCCAAAGCTACATTATCGACCAATATGTTAGGCAGGCTCATGAGAAATCACGCAAATCATATAAATAACTAAAATAAAAATCACGTAGATAAGCAAAGAAGTGCGCGTTTAACATATCACCAAAAACACACAACAATACAAGTGCCAGCAAGAAAAGGGAAGCATTTTTTGGCCAAAAAAAAATTCCTACACAAGTATGTCAAAAAAATAAAAAAAAGAGCTTTCGTCTTAGAATTTTTCATTAAATACAGAAATAATGGGTCCGTAAACTCCTTTAAACTCTCTTAGAGTGTTGATGCTGTAGGTCGATGAAGCATCGTGGTTTTACCAATTCTGGTTAGCTTATGGACAAAAGAGAACCAACAAAAAATAAAAAGGAAACAAGAAAAAAAAAGATGATGCAATCATTTTTTTTATTCTGGTTGTTTTTATATGGTACTTAGTTCAATAATTCAACGAATAAAATTAAAATACAAGACAATCAAGTAAAAATACAAAACATCATGGTTTGTAGAACCAACGACAAAAATTAAGCAGCTAAAAGGCAACAAAATAAAATGTGGAAGCTGAAAATGGAAGTGTTCAGTTAGAACACTCTTAAAATAATAAGGTGGGTGAGAGTGAAAGTCAATAGACAGGCTGTTCCCAACATTGTAAGTTAGGAATCAGGAATGAGAGTTTGGATCACAACTGGGTTAGGCTGGATATGTCACATATTTGCATATTTGATCTAGTTCATATTAATCAATTAAAGGAATGTACATATGCCTCGTACAACCAATTAACTGTAATTGCCTTGCCTAGATTAAGCCTCAAGTCTTAACACAGTTTTTGGTGTTCCTGTGTTGGGCATGGGTTTTCGGTCGAAAAGGCGCAACTAGTAGGTGAAGTGACCCGCTCCCTTACATGGCCCAGGACCCCTCATCACCAACCGACGTGAGACTCATTCGACAACTCAACATCTTGATCCCACCAGATCATCCTTTCTTCAACATCCCGCAGACATAATCAAACCACCTACTCAATGTTAAAAGTATTCTGCTAATCGTTTAACCCACGCAATTATACAGATTAGCCCCCCTTTCGTGCTTACTAAACTCTACCTAAACTGAAAGCAGATTGCAACTGGCTGCCTAAATTCCCCACCTTCACTATAGCCAACAAAACATAAACATCAGCAGAACCATCCTATAAGAACCCAAAATCACCATACTTTTTATATAATACTTTATGATGTAGCTAAACATAACTGGCTCATTCTGTGTGGAAAGTTAGGTAGATCAATAGCTTATATGCCCATAGCACAAGTAGTCATAATGCCAAGGCCAGAGTTGGTATAGACACAGCGTATTGCTATGATTCCATTGACCCACCACCGCTTTCACACCAAAATTATCAACAAACAAGGCACAACCCATCTACTAGAATATGCCTATCTTTGGAGCATCAACACGTTTCTCACCAGCAGAAGCCACTTCCACCCATTGAAGCGCCGTTTGTAAACTCGAACAGTATTCGAATCAACATACTATATAGTCAAATTAAGTGAAAGTGTGTAACGGATATGATCTCGATCCAAATGGATTTCGGGGCATTGTGACAACCAATTATATGAACACATTCACATATGTCAATATTGCAATAAGCAAATAACCTAAAACAACAATTTATACTATTTCAAAGGCACTAAATCAACATATAGAACCAATGCACACATGACACATGCAAATATCCAAAAATAACAAAGTAAAAAAGACCAAGAATGTTAAAACAACAAACCTAAAATTAAATCAGTTAGTAACAAACTCACCTCTCCTAGGCTTCGCAGCCACCTTAACCACCGGCGTAGCTTTCGCCGCCGGTGCTTTTTCCTCCACCGGAAACAACACCCCATCAATTCCCTGCACAGAGATCCTCCCATCTGTATAAATATCCGGATCAAACAAGTAGGCTGAAACCTCCCCTTGCCCAAATTTCACTGACCCATCAGCCTCCTCAGCCAAAACCTTATGTGGCACCCTCAAAGTATCATACCTAACCTTCCCAAACCTCCTCACCGAATTATACATACTCTCCTCCGTTTGGTACTCCGGTATCAAATGGTAATACATTATCTGCTCCGGCGCACCGGGTTCACTCAACTGATCGGTAGTGAGCTTAGCCATGGCCTCATCGTTCGGTGCTAAAACGGTCAATACGTACCCTTCGGAGACCAACTTTCCCATCTCGGTAGCTAAGGAAGTCAAGTTCACCAAAATGTCAGCCATTTCATTGTACCCACCATAATGGAGCAAAGTTTGGATGAAATCCTTCACTTGGGTTTCACCGTCGAAGTGGTGGTGGGGTCCCCCGGGTCCCGGAGCCGGCGCCGGAGCCAGAGACGGTCCAGGTGCCATGGCGTCAATAATGGGTAGAACAGGAGGTGACCCAACTGGGACAGGGCTCGCCGGTTTCTTCAACCGGTGAGTTCTTGGGTCCACCTCCGGTGCACCCTCCGGTAACACAGCAGAAATTGATCTCAAGCTTCTTCTCCGGTTGAAATCTTCTTGAACTGATCTCGGAATCAAGACCCTTTCGATTCCATGAATAATACCATCTGGCCTAACAACGTCATCTGGGCGAATCAATTTGCCCAGACCCACAAGTTTTTCGCCGGTTTTGTGCAGAGCCAAGACCAAGTGGTCATTGTCACCATCACAGAGAGTATTGTGCTGAACTATTCTCGATGTTTCGATTGGCCATTCTTTGGACCCAAAACGAGTTGGAATAATGTGGGAGAGCAACAGATTCTGAAGGGACCTGAGATTTCCAGGCTCAAGTAAGAACCGTTTGAACTCTGGGTCAAGGTCACGTTCCAAAGCTTCATTTCTCGGAGCAAAAATGGTGATATTGTGGACTGTCACAGCTTCCTCGAGGGTTTGAAGCAAAAGGGCCTTCTCAACGAGCTCGGAAAGTTCAGTGTAGTGTGAATCAAGAAGAGCCACCAAGACAGAGTTGGAGTTGATCTGGGGTGAGGTTGGGTGTTTTGTTACTGGGTTGTCTTGCAATGTAGCGCTTCTTGTAATCATAAGTGAAAGAAACATTAACATGATCAAGTGCTTGAAGTTGGAGACACCATAGATCTGAGAATCCATGGCGTTTCTTGAGATGGGGGAACACAAGGGGACTTCAATTTCTCACTCCAATGAAAGAGTTTCTCTTCTCTCCCTCTAGCACTTCAAGGTCTGTTGTGGTGGAAGGTCTGTATATGGGTTTGGTGGTGGAAGGAATTAAAATGAAGGGGAGAGAGAGGGGGTGGGATGAAAAGGTTGGACATGTGGACTGTGATGGGCTTTGCTTTTTGTGGGTTTTAAAGTGGTGTCGTTTTCTAAGTTTTAATTGGGTGTCGGGGGTAGTTAATGTATTTATGTTCTATAGTTTCGGTCGTGATTAAATTATATTGTAATACGATTTATTTACAATAATATAATAGGGTCTAATTTGAGAATTTTATCGGTGACCTAATCCAACGGGTGTAATTAATTATGATTTTAAATTAGATCTCTAAATTAAGTTTAAATAAAATTTTTATTTATTTAACTTATATTCAATTTGTTTTATAATTGTAGATAATCAAATTTATATTTTTTCAAATTTGTGTTATTTTGTAAGTTGTGTGTTAGTTGGTTGACACTGTGTTTAAACAAAATTTGTACCTGATGGTGCTCGAAAACACTCGGCCCGAGTCTTGCTCAATGTTTTGCAAAATGGGAGAAGATAGTATGAATATTTTAAGTTAACAGAGGAAATATATGAGATTAAAGACAATATATAAGTAATTCACTCTAACCGAAAAATTAAGGATTCGTTCACTGTAATTGAGGCTCTGGCTTCATAGGATTTATATTGCTTGAAGAAGAAGATTACAGTGAGTTTCTTAACTTAGAGCTTTATTGAACAATGCCTTGTGAGTAGAGATTTTTCAAATATGTTTTACATAGTTTCCTGGTGTTCTATTTCTACAAGAGGTTATGTAGGATTTTCTGCGATCTTGCTCTTCCTTGACTGATTCTGTGGTCCCTATTTTTTGTCTTGTAATGGTGACCATATCCACGATCCTTTAATGAAATGTGCACAAATATTCCCTTTTCTAGAGAATACACGTTCGTTAGAGGTTTTCGAAGTTGTCCCTTGATCCCCTGGACACGTGGCGCGATGTAGGACATTCAAGATCTGGTGAATACCAAACTCCTTGCTCTCGGGCTGTTTATCGCTGAGCATGTGATGACCGAGCAGGGTTGTGTCGAGCTGGACTCTTTGCTGGGCTCCCTCCTTTGGATTCTGGCCCATTTTTTATTATGGAGCAGATGGATTGTAGAGGGGTCTCTTGGGCTGTTATGCAACCGTTGGACCCATCAGATGTTTTGGGCTTTAGGATGGGCAACCCACTTCAAAATCCAATCGTTATCAGTATCAATCTATTTATTTAACGATTCTATTGGATTTAACCATTTACCACTCAAAATCACTAATTAAACTAAATTTTATAATTTCATATCCATTCTCATATAGAGTTTGTGAAATGCCGATATAGTTATTTAACATGTCTAACAAGACTCGCAATTATTGAGACTAAATTTAAAATTATTAATTTGGTGTCGATTTTATAATCAATTGACAAAATATGTTTAATGTTGATACCAGAAAAATACGTAGTTCACGCAAGAAGACAACTCAGCTCATGCTAAACAGGTTGGCACCAACTAACCAAGTAAACAATATGACTCCAGAAATCGACAAATATCAGGGAAAATACTAGAATGGGTAAAAGATGACTTTTTTTACTATCAAATTCTACATTGGATATCAAGAAACCACCTCTTAAAAATCATGTCGTCACTTATAAAAGGCCACATCATGCTTGTAAATAAGAGTCTATAACAACTAAATATTCTCCGACAACTTTATTAAGATAGCAATGATAAGCTATGAATAAATAGCTCGCATATATGCTGCCTCAACTTTCTCTCCGAATTGAATCAAGGGATTCGATGCCCAACTCTTTGTAAACTGTCTTTGTTTTCTTCAAGAAATACACCGTTAACGAGTAAGAGCTCTCAATTAAAGTGGATTAAACATGTTTCTCTGACCGAGCGAATCACTATAAATTTTTGTACTTTCTTTACTTGTTTTAACACACACCTCACCATCACCTAGTGATGGGACATTTCCGGAATACTCCAAGATGAAGAAACGTGTCCTCGGTGTCACTGATCCTTGTTATCGAGATCACGTACCCATCGGGTCACAAGTCCTTTCTACCCCGAGGTACTTATCATGGGATCAAGTGGCATCCAGTACGTTTATATGTACCGACATGTACCCTCGGTCTGATATAGTACATCGGTCGCTAGGCCTCCCCCTCTCGGATTCAAGATGTACCTATTCCTCGGTTCTGAGATGTACCTCTTCCTCGGCTCTGAGATGTACCTCTTCCTCGGTACTGAGATATACCCCTCTCATCCAAGATGAAGTTCTCTGCACCGGTCACTAGTCTAGACTAGGCTAGGTTAACTATCATGACCTCGTCTTACACAATTGGTGTCAGAAAGCACAGGAAGGCAGGGGCCACAGCCAATGAGGAATGAACACGTGGTATATTGTGTCACATCAGAGACAGAAAGACCGCATGACTTTGCTGACACGCGACTTGGGAAAACAAGCATTTAATTACACCATTCCCTTGATGAGACTGCATTCAATGCGGTAAGGTTCGGAAGTGAAAGACAATAAATGTCTCTAAGGCTGGGCATTTATTACATCCTCCCCGAGAGGAGCTCATTGAACCGTCGGCAGGCCGATGACACCGTCTTGATTGGTCAGGGTCCCGAGCAGTTAAGAGAGAAGACATTCCTCATAGGAATCAATGTGCACGTTGTCTGTATCTAATGATCACCTACTAACCACATTGACAACAATCATGAGTATTTGAGGTATAAATACTCCTCACTAAAGGCAAGGAAAAGGAGGTGAAACTTTTGCTACAAACTATACTCAGTGTTTTCTTCTTCCTCTCCCTCAAAAACTGACTTGATCGTCGGAGGGGATACGCCGGAAAACACTCCGACGCCCTTCTAACTTGTTCTTATTTATTCCAGGAACCTTTCTTTAGCCTTACTGGATCGTTCCTTTGATCCGCGAGGATCACCCGTTACCGTTCCAAGTTACCACCGGATCTCATAGGCTGTTCCAAGTAGTGTGGTTGACCACTCAATTGACTCACTCGAGTTCACTAAGGGAGAGATCTGTTCTCGTTTTTATATTGTGTAAGATCTAGCACGCACAATCTGGAGCCGTCTATGGGAAACGACTAGTTTTTCTAGTTTTTTCTCTATAAAGAACAGTGACCATGGTGAACACTCGACAAAAAGGGAAAGGTCCCCACCAAAGAAGTCTCGAGTTACAAGCTCCCTGTCACCATGAAGGGAGGGATCACACTGATGGGAATAAGAATGCCTCTACTCAGTCAAGAGGGGTTACCCCTCAAACCAGTATGGGAATCAGGTCAAGAGGATCAGCCCCCTTGGCTCATCAGCTGGCAGAGGTGATCGAAGAAAAGTTTGGCGATAGATTACGACAGCTGAAAAAGGACAATATAAACGTCCTAAGCCGGCTCAACGAATTTGCCGCCTCCGGCGAAGGGTCGAGGGACTCATTCCTTTCTCGTGGGTTCCCCGCCCAGGATGCGGAAACGAAGGATCTAAGGAATCATTTAAACAACAAGGCAGAAAGCTCCAAGGCCCCAAAGCGACTGAGAGTCGATGAGCACCCTCCTAACGACCATTCAAGGAAGGCAAGACCATTAGCCCTGGATGACCTCCGGCGAGGATTGTTTAGACGGAGGAAGGGAGATGAGTCCGAGGAGGATTCTACCTTATCCACACGGCGCCCAAGAAATGGGGGGCTATTGATGAACTCAAAGACTTCAGAAGACATCCCGTCAGGGAGGAAATTGATCTCAGAGCCCGATTGGAATCCAGGAGAAAGAGTAAGGCTGTCCAGGATGAGGTCGAAGACGAGGTCATACAAACACCCTTTACCCGAGAGATCGGAGAGATGGAGATTTCAAGAAATTTGTCGTGCCGAGGTTCAAAACTTATGACGGGCGGTCCGATCCCGAAGCCCATCTCAGGCAATACAAGCAGATGATGTCCTTCTATCATTTGGACCAACAGTTTCTCTGCCGAGTGTTTCCTATGAGCTTGGGGGACTCTGCGATGAAGTGGTTTGAGGCGCTTCCCCTCAACAGTATTGGATCGTGGAAGGAATTCACGAGGCAGTTCTTGGCTCGATTCATTACGGGGAGTAAGCGACCCAAAGACGTTGGATCATTGCTAACGCTCAGACGTAGGGAATCCGAGACCCTTCGCCAGTATGCCATCCGATACTGGGAAGAGGTTAATGAGGTAGAAGGCTGCTCGGAGGTCATGGCAACGGCGTCTTTCAGGCTCAGTTTGGCAAGGGACACGGACCTGTACCGATCCCTGACTAAGAAGACTCCCTCAGATATGAGTGAGATGATGACCCGGATAAACAAATACTCAAGGATCGAGGACGAGATGTGAAGCAGCAAAGGCCGAACCCTCCAATCTAAGAGAAAAGAGAGGGAGCAGGAGGATACTCCCCGAAAGGGATTGCTACCCCCTCCAGGGGGGTCATCCAAAGGAGTTCACACAATTTTCAAGGAACCCATCTTCAAGTTGCTCCATAAAATCAAGCATGGGCCGTTCTTCAAGTGGCCGCACAGGATGCAGAGCGATCCCTCCACCCGTGATCAAAAGGTTAGGTATTCCTATCACCGAGATTTCGGGCATCGCACCGAAAACTGCAGGGTATACAAATCGTTTTTGGAAAAATTGGTCTGAGACGGATACTTGAAAGAATACATAGAGCCCAGGCCAGAAGAGAGACACACCCTCGCCCCGACCGAGGAGCCAGACAACGTCATAGATGTCATTCATGTATGTCCCCTGGATCGCCCCACGTCCAAGGAACTCGAGTTCGACCTCAAGAGGGTAGCTTTTACAAGGAAGGTAGCCAAGGATGATGGGGGGCCACCCAGTAAAAGGGCTAGGACTAGTGAGCCCAGCATCACGTTCTCCGACGCGGACTTGACAGGCGTAGTGACTCCTCATAACGACGCCCTTGTCATAACCCTGAAGATAGGAAAATTCGACGTAAAAAGAGTATTGATAGACTCT